TTGTGTATAGGAAAGCCTCTGACTTTTGTGTGTTGATTTTATATCCTGCTACCTTGCTAAACTGGTGGGTGGTTTTGATTAGTTCCTCTGTGGAGCTTTTAGGGTTTTCCATATAAATTAACATATCGTCTGCAAATATCCCTGTTTGGATTCCTTGTATGCCTTTTTCCTAAGACAGTCTTTAACAAGTTTATTTTTACATCATTTTGTGCCTTTCTCCATTTCATTTGTCATCCCTGTGGGCTCCCCATCAACAAATCACCGGTGTGCCATCATCATAGTCCAGTTCACTTATCCCCCAAAGACAGTCTTTATAAGAGTTTAGAATTTAAAATTTTATGTTCTGCATGATCAAGGACTTGGCAGATGATTCTATAACTTTAGGCACAGAACAAAGACATAGATTAATCTGAGGACAGCTTATTTCAACAGAATCACTGGCATTCTTACTGTTACCCTGCATAGAAATCAAGATATACTTGTCTTTATGGGACATCAGAAACATTTACATTTCCTGATTATACTTTTATACTCAGAGGTGGGAATTCAACATGTAAATTTAAGAATGCAGTAATCCTAAACAAAACTGTTACTAGAAATTTTCAGTTTAGATGTGAGCCATAGTTAACCCACTTTTGCTATTTTAAAAGGCTGCATCACAGTCCATGTTCTCAAATACCTCTTTCGTTAAGTCCATGTCTTTTACAACTGTACACTGAATGGCATGACAATATTTAATGCATGTTTCCTCATTTGACTACAGGTTTCTTAAGGGCAGGGCATTACTAATTTGGGCTCAAGGCCGAATGGCCAGCAGCAGTACATGCTTCATATGCATTGCTATGTGTGACATTAGATACAAACTTGCATTGTGTGGGAAAAAAATATCTATCAGCTCAGCATAAACTGTGACAGAAAAACACAGGGCAACATAAAAGTGATTGATGTAAGAATAAGCACATAAATAATAAAAGTGGATTTAACACTGCCAACTATTCCTCACCTAGCATCCCAACTCAATTATCACCAAATGCTGGCTACCAGAAATTGGGCTGTTTGCTTGGCAGTGTCCTTTCACCTGATTATTTCTGAAACTAGTTAAGTAACGGCTTACATCTTAGAAATAATCATTGCTCTCAAAAAGCTTATTTCCACAAGTGACACATTACTGCAGCGTGTGTTCCTACGTGTTCTCAATTAGCTGTAGTCATGTGTATTGTGACTAGTTGCCTAGAGAGAACTCCTGACCCTTCTTTTATGATTCCCCATGGAAGGCAAAGAGTTCAAGACAATTCAATTTCTGGATTTAGGGAGACATTTCTACAAGTTTACACAGTTCTAAAAGGTAAGTCACATCTTTGTATCTTTCCCAGCTACTAGCTCAGTCAATGGAACAATCATAACTTGGTGACATGACCAGTTTATATTTAAGTGTTATGGGGTGAATCGTGTAGCTCACTTGTCTTCTGTTGAAGATCCCCAGGATCCCAGAATACAATTGTGTTAGGAGACAGGGCCTTTATAGAGGAAATTAAAGTGAAGTAAGACAGGTGGGTCCTGCTCCAATATGACTAGTATTCCTAGATATTAGGACACATCGCCACAGAGAGGCAAGACCTTACAAAGGTGGCTATCTATAGGGCAAGGGAAGAGGTTTCTGAAGTAATCAACACTACAGACATCTTGGGTCTTCTAGACTTGGGAAAATTAAGAAAATAAATTTGTTTTTAAGCTAGTCTGTGGTACTCAGATCAACCTCAGCAAATGAATACAAAGAGTAAGTACATTTTAAAGATTTTTAAAATTCACAACTTGCAATTACCTAGTTATAAATTTTTTACAAGCAGGATGGCATTTTATCTTTTAGCAGCAATACCACCACTACTTATTTGGCAGGACCAAAAAAATACACGTGGGTACAATTGCCACCACAGAGACCAGGTTCTAGTCCAGGCTGTAGTTAACTGGCATGTGGCTTTAGGCAAGTCACACTTCAATTTTAAAGGTGGCGACTGAAGGAGGTCATTTCTTTCAATTTATGTTCAAAACTACAGGACTCCTAGTGATGGCTGTAAACCTTCTGTGATATAAATATGCACTACACTAACAAGCTTGTAACAAACCTAATTTGGGTATATGTTTATCTTCTGATAAAAATGCTTCATTCTTAAAATGATCTAATTACATTTATGTATTTTAAAGGTGAAGCCAGTAGTATCAGTTAATCTAATTTTCTATTTCATTAAAAGCCCACTTCTAAAAGAATCTAGAATAAGATTAAAATCAGTGTTTAGGTTCCCACAATGTAATAACTCTATAAAGAACTAGAAATAAAATATCTAAGAAAAAGCAATACATGTAACTGATATCTGAGTAACCCTGTAATTACAAAAAACACAAACTCAATTAAAGATCAGACCTCCTTACCTTAAAATTTATGTATACTAATTTCATAGAGAAGCCAAAAATGGAATTAAACTAGAGAAAATGTACTGATTTAGCACTGCCCAACATTGTGTCTGTGAGAGTGAGAGACAGAGAGGAGGAAAGATGATACATAGAGAAAGCAAGAAAGGCCTCCCAAGTGTGCTGCCAGGTTTCTGTACTGAAGAGGGAGCACCACAGAAGACTTTGTTCTTGAGGGTTAGCAAACCAGTCATCCCTCAAAATGAGAATAATTCCTCAATTGAAAGAGGTGGTTAGCTGACCTTGCGTTTTGTTTTTGAAGTGACGTGGGTATGTGCTTGCTTTTAGAACAATGACAAGTTTAGATGGATGGCTATGGAAAAGAGAAAAGATGACACCATTAGAATTACAGAAAAGACAAAGGAGAAACCCAAAGTACAGACAAAAACACAGAAAAATTTTAAGAGGGTACAGATGTTATGACATTTATTAAAAGGCATGCTACAATGTTATACTTGTTAGAAAAATGAGATCAGAGATACCAAGTAATAGTTTATACAAACTGAACGAAATGGAATATACTGTAGTGTACAGAAGCTTGAATTAACCATGCACTGCGCATTTAGAAAATATGTTTTTTAATATTTATCTTCTCTTTGCATTTATAACATAAATCACATCAACAATTACAGAATCCTTTTCTTCCAATGCCACAAACTGTTACAAATGAAAGCTGGTACTGCTGCTTATCAAAATATATAAGACAATTGATGTTATATAAAACCACTTTATATGTTAACTTGTTCCCAAAAACCTTTTTTTTTTTTCTTTTGGCCTGGTTTAAAAAATGTTGTTACAAATATTTACAGCATTTTCTTTTGCTAGATGACCATTCTCATAAAATGAAAAGGGTAACTTTATGAACAGGCCATATTAAACATGAGACAATGTAGAGGCTCCTAGCTGTGCTATTTTTTCCCCCTTAAATACAGTACTGGAAATGCCCATCAAACCCTTGTTATTTTAATCCATTCTGTTCACATTAAATCCCCAATTTTTTCTAAGTAGTCTACTCATCAACAGGACATAGTAAGTAAAGGCCTCTTTGCACTGGGTCTTCTTTCAGAAAGGAGTTTGGGAAAAATGCTTACCAGAGAGGAGTTAAAACCAGAACAGTAAGTCTTTGGTCAGAGCAATGAGGTGACATAGTGATGAAAACTTTCCTTAGTCAGCAATCTTTAACATTAGTACTTTCTGGATTGTGGGATGAATTTTTAAAAGATCTGGTAAATAATGCTAACATAAAAAAAAGGACAGCGTGTAATTGTTTCATGGCATCAAAAATAACTACTTAAATATTTGTTATCACTACTACTACTTAGGTGAAAGAACTGAAAACAACACACATACAAAACAACCTGTTTACAGTGCTGATAAAAATGTGCCACAGCATTTTTCAATCTGACTACGATCACCAAGGTCACTGGACCAGACAAATATCCCTGTGCTCTGGAACATATGCCTCAGGTTACAAAAACTAAGATGACTACAACAAAGATTTAGAGCAGCTCTGTTCTTAGACTTGTATGTACATGCTATACAATGAATATTATGGGAAAAAGGCAAAAGTGTAACTGATTCTGCTTATACAGTTACAGTTCTTTGCTTGCATGGTGTATGGGATAACATTCTTTTAAAACTATAGTACATACTTCCTGAAAACCAGAATACTGACACTACCTTAGTCTCAAATAGGAAAAAAATTAAGACTACTAAAGAAGGCACATAAACTTTGGTCCTGTTTTGTTTCCCTTGTTATAAACCCTCCCCCCTGACCCCACTAGTATGCTAGCAATTTTCTACTTCTTAAACCATTCATAACACGTTAGAATTTGCTCTGCGAAAAGACTGCAAATAGTTTTGCATGTAACAACCGAGTTCTTTTAAAAGACAGCTGAGTTGATAATTCTTTAAAGAAGTTTTGTGCAATTTAAACTACATTTCTTTTTAGCACAACAGTAGAATGTTAAAGTCTGGCAGTTTGATTTTTGCTAATAATAGATGAGGACAAAGGGAAGGCTAAGAAAAATGCTTTTACACATAGACATGCTTTTTTCTGGATTTTAAAAATAGCAGTACACACTAGGCTTTTTAACAGATAGGCTTATCATTTGGCAAACTTAAAGCTTAAAAGTGAATCATGGGAAGGCAATATCTATTCTGAGTTTGTCATCTATTGTTCAAAAATATTTAGCATATATTTAGAAGAAAAACTGCATGATAATATGCTCAAGGTATAAATCTTGCTGCATAAGACATGGAAGCTTTTATAAGATTACATGAAACGTTCTTATGAGATTAGAGCAGACATTTGTGAGGGTAAAGCTAAGCAGGCGAAGCAGAATCGATGATCACAGACCTAGGTGGAGCCAAAAGTACTGCTCCTATAAGGAATCAGACAGGTGGAAGCTGTCTCTAAGAATTGTGAGATTTGCAACTTACAGCAACAAAAATCAGAATCATTACTATAAATGTTACATATTTAATATCAAAGAATTTACGGCATTCTTAGGAAGTAATTCTGATACTCTCCAGTAAGCTATCAAGATAACTGGTTCATTTTTTTATTTGTTATCTCACCAAAAAATGCGTTTTATTGCCATGCAAGTTATTTAAATCCCAAAGTAAAACTTTTTGTCAGAAATTGCTACTGTCAAATGTGTACTGTTATTTTTAATGTCCTGACTATATACACTGTATAAAAGTCAAGATACCTCCAAAAGTGATGACAAAACTCCTTAAGAGAAAATGAATAAACTTAAAAACAACAGTTGAGCAAAAATGAAACAAAAATTTTAAGATAATGAATAAATGCACGCCAAACAAAGCCACAAAGGTCTAGTTTTTCTACTAATCTGAGAGTCAAAAACTGTTTTTACAGGAGCTATGACAACACAAACATTGCAGACCTCTATAGTTCAACAGCAAGCAGCCAACATGGATAACATCCATGTGCTACGACTAATTTTAGACACAAACGGATGGCTTCAAACATACAATTTTAAACAAGGATAGCTAACTTTTCCAAGTCTTAATTTGATTACTTTTCTTTGTCAATAAATTAAATGTGCATATGTATGTACAACATTAGAAGAGTGTATGTATATATACACACACACACACTTATCTATACACACACACACACACACACACACACGCACTCAAGTAAATCCCTGAAAAGGATTCAAAATGTTCTTAGATTTAAAGGCTATTATTTCCTAACTTCCAAGGTATGTTCAACACCATTATGATCTCCCTTCTGCTACACTTATATTGAGTGATCACACAGAATTTCTAACTCAAAGTAAATTGAACAATCCAATTTAACATGTCATTGAAAATTATAATAGTACTTATACAGAAGGGAAAAATAAACAAATTTTGCAAAGATTGCTCTCCCTCCTTCCCATATTCATTATTCTACATTTTGGTGAAAATGTATTTCATAAGTTAAAAAAAAAAAACTAGATAAATGACACTTTGTTAATTCAGCCAACATTAAAAACTGATCCATTCAGACCTCAATTTAGTATCTGCCTGCCTATTCTACCAACTAACTGCTATTCAGTAGTTTTTTTCTCAAATTTCTTTGTAAACTATCTTCCTATTTTCAGATTAATGGCTGGACTATAGCAAAGAGATTGAGATAATCCCCTAAATGGTGAGATGAGCCACTCTATGATTCTGAAAAGTATGAGTGAATAAAATGATTCTGACAAATTCTGCTTTAAAAAAAAAATCTGATCCAACATTGACAGAATTAACACAAACCAAGTTTCTCCTTAAAAACAAACAAACAAAACCACTTTTACATTACACAATCATTGAAGCAACATTAAAATGTGTATGCTTTACATTCAACCAAAAAGAGATTGGGAGAGACTTTGAGGAAAAACACAATGTCTCTCACTCCACATATATGGGTACTCATTAATGAAGAGACAATAACAAAGAAAAATGTTCCCACTTGAGGACTAAGGAAAAATCAAGTAATCCTGAGACAAATTCTAATGAGCCATAAGGATTAGACAAGATCCAGAAACTGAGATTGCATTTTATAGCCCCAAATAGGTATGCTATAAATGGCAATGACCACTACGGTCATAGTGTGAAGAGGCCTACAGGTGTGCGCTGAGTATTCCCCAAACCACTTCCCCTTCCCCACCCCATCACTGTACTGAAGCACCAAAAATTTGAATAGAAAGTATTACTCATTGAAATTCACTTAAAATTGTAATGAAAGTATTTTATCCTTATCAAGCCAGGGAAAGCAAAAAATAAAAGCTTACCAAATCCACAATATAGCTTTCTAGATACGTAGATAAAAATCTAACCTATTGTATCATAAGCACATAATAAGGCACATAATAAGAAATTAAGTAATACACAGTAATTCTGAGTAAGTATTAAGAGATTATAGTGGTACAAAAAACCCTTGAGATTAATTTTTTCTAAAAGAAGACCTTACCAAAATAACTTTTAAAAAATCTGTCAAACCATATGATAGACCTGAATATTTCCCTTGAGACTGTAAACTTTTTTCTGAAAAACAATTATAAAAAAGTTTATGAACACGATTAATTTTCATTTTAAAATTTCCAAGATCAATGCATTATTCAGCAAGTGTCATTTTGAACATGATTTTTTAAATATAATTATTACTCTGACACCTAAGTAAATCCTAGTTGGAGCCCACTAATTTCCCTGGGGACATCTGAAATACTGCATTATTTCTCTAAATAGTTTTCAAAAGTTAAAAATAAGTGTCATTCAAAGGAGTGTCTTATAATGATAAAAAGAAGACATGCAAGTACATAAATCTGCTTCTGATAAAACTCAATTTGCTTATGTATAGTAGCTATCAATACATGCCAAATCAAATAACTGATGTAAGTTATAAGTGAACATAATTTGTCATAGGGTCAAACTTCTGAATCATAAAAGTTAAAAACTTGGTTCTAAGTAATTTTAAAAATCTATGTTTAAATTCTTCTAAGTACAAAGGCATTTAGAAATGTCATATAAGAATGATTTGGACCCAAACTAAAAATAGTATGCCCTCCTGAAATACATTTAAGATAGGGAAATGAATTACTGAAAAAAATTTTGCCTAAGATTATTTTCATAGAAATTATGGTACAAAGGGAAAACCTTCAATCACGTATTGATGGGGGTGGAGAACATCCTTTGATTTTTTTTTTTTTTTTAGATATACTTGAATATCAAAAACTCAGAAAGAGCTGTTTTTGTAAGAGGCAGAATTGGTCTTGAGTTGCTTCAGTTTACGTCTGAAGGCTTTCTTAAATCATGGCCCAGTCTTAGAAGAAAAATTTCACAGCAAAGTCAGATGGTAGATTTTGAGAAGGAAACTCTGAGGTGATGATTTTCTCCCAGGTCATGGTTATGAAGTTCAATGAGTGCCTGAATCGCTTCTTCCACTGATGCCAACTGAATAAGTGCCATTTTGCGATCTTTTCTGAAAATGATATTCAAAAAAACATTAAAATGTATATAGACGTAATCTTGCCTACAAAGTCCATTCCCCAAAAGACTTCACTGAATTACCATAAAAATTTTGGTTATTATATATATTATATTTTATATATTTTGTATATAATTTTGGATATTATATTAACAAATTTGTTTCTGCAAATTTTGAAAGCAAGAACTTACTGAAAGAATTTAAAAGCCTTTACTGAACATCCAGCTTCTGTGAAAAGGTTCTTGAGATGATCCACTGTAACAGAAGGGCTATGGGAACATCAGAGAGAGTGTTAATTATCTTAGCCTTCATTCTCAAATGAGGCAAAGATTAACTCTTACAACTATTAAATCTCCAGAGTATCTCACATTTCAAAAAGAATAATCACATCATGAAATGAAGACATGATTTAGAAGTATCCTGAAAGATGTTTAAGGCTGATACAAACACAACCTTCAACAATCAAATCTTTGCATTAGGATGTGGAGAGACATAAGGAGCAAGAATATTCTTTCAATATCCCTTTCTTTTAAAGGGATTATTTTCCATACCACTGGCCTACGTAATTAAGTCTAGTACCTCTAATGCTATTTTCCTAGCTCTCAACTGTCTGCTTAGTCCACAGCTGTACATTTTCGACTGCTTTCAAAGTAATGATAAATTACCAATGTGACAACTAGGTAAGGCTGCCAATTACTCATGTCTCCTATTATACAGGCCCTTTGGCACTACCCGCCTATATTTAACAGGAATGTTTTCTCTGTAACCCTAAGGTTATTTATTATAGAAATGACAGGTGATGACTTCTGAGGCCAAAAGTTATCACGATGTCAACTGTGACCTCTTTTGGAAGAAACCAGCTGCAGCTTCATGAGAACACTCAAGTAGCTATAAGGAGAAGTCACTGTGCCAAAGAAACTGAGAGCTCCCACCAACAACTGATCAGTGGAGTAAGCCACTCTGGAAGTGGAGCCTTAGCTACAGAGTAGACCTAATCTCACAAGAGATTCTCAGTCAGAAACACCTGGGTAAGTTCCTCCTGGATTCCTGACCAGAATAAGGTTGATAGGTAAGTTAAGTTTGAGTTAGTGACCTGTTATACAGCAGTAGATAATTAATATGGTTACCTCTCACCTGAAAGTCAACTGACCCAAAGGAGACTTTCCCTTATCTCATGACTGCAAGCAAGGACAGTGAGGCAGAACAACAACTGGCCCTGTAGAGAGGCAGATCTGAGTTGACTTTTATTTCTCATCCATTTGATCTATCACTTTGAACAAATTAGTCAACCAGAACCTCTCATTAGGGTTAAGTTGATAAAGATACAGAATAGTGGTTACCAGGCACAAAAGGATATAGGAGAGTGATTATCATTTAGTAGGTATAGAGGTTCAGTCTGGGATGATGACAAAGATCTACAGATGGAGAGAAGGATGGCTGCACAGTATGTATTTAACATGAATGTACACTTAATGTACAGTGCATGCACACTCAGAAATGTTATGCATATTTTATCACAATTCAAAAAAAAAGTTATAGACTTTTCCTGGTGTTGCAACACTATGAAGCTCTCAGAAGCCACGGCAGCATGAGTTCGATCCCTGACCAGGGAGGTGACCACATGGCATGGCAGGCCTCTCCTGCCCCGCCCACTGCTCCCCTCAGCAGTTTATTTCAGTAGATCTGTCTGTTCTGTTCCCCCATTATGTTCTGGTGAATCCTCTCACCCACCATACCCCCAGTTCTGTAGGGATAAATAAATAAATCTTAAAAAAAAAGTTAATATAGTGATTAAATGAGGTATGCGGTAACACATAAAATACCAGCATAGTGCCCAGAACTTGGTCGATGGTTCAAAAAATATTGTTCTTTCTCTCTTCTACCTACATGTCCCATGTAGGTTCCAAATTGAGGCCAGTTCCTGTAAATGTATTGTATTTAAAAAGGTAACACCAACAGGAGCCTGCCTCATATCATATACAGTCCTCTTTACTTGACTTGAGAGTTATGCGCTACAAATTTCCAGAGCCACATTGCCTAGATACCTTTCTTAAGAATGTTTCCTAGTTGTCATGAGGTTTGAGCCACTGTTAAGAAATCTTAAGATTTAAGGTTTCGTCATGTAGCCTCACTGGAGATGAGCTAGGCATCTGACTATTCAAGTTCTTTGTTTTCCAGCTTTCATTCTTAACCACAATTATGATCCAGAACTTTACCATTCTCCGTTCTTTCAATTTTCATTAAGATTCCCTAATTTAAGTTCCTTGAATTTTCACACACATATATACACATACCATACACATACCACATCTATAGTTTTTTTTTTTTATTCGTACAGAACTGGGGTACAGGCCAGAAATGCGGAGGGTGAGAGGAGTCACCAGAGACAGAGCGGGGAGCAGAACAGGCAGATCGACGAAATACACTGCTGAGGGGAGCAGCGGGCGGGTCAGGAGAGGTCTGCCACGCCATGTGGTCGCCTCCGGGGCAGGCGGGAATCGAACTCATGCTGAAGTGACTTTAGCTTCTTAGTGCTGTGCTTTAACGCGCTGCGCCACCAAGGAGGGCCCACATCTATAGCTTTTACCTTATCCACTTTCATGTTTTAAATTAAAAAGTTGCCATCTCTTAAGGTTAATGATTTTAGTAATAGAGATTGCCAGGTGTTTTTGATGTTTTTTAAGGGCCATACAGTAAATATCAATATGGTATTCTACAGTCATAGAAACTACTTAACTTTACTGTAATAGTTCAAAACAGCCACATAAAATATGGAAGGCGATAATTATTTCAAGTCACAAAATAGGTTTCTTTTATTTCCCCCAACATTTGAAAATGTAAAAATCAATCTCAGCTCATGGGTCATACAAAAAACCACATGGATTGGGCATGGACTATAATTGGTCAGGCCCTAGACTGTTATACTACAATTTAATGTAATCAGTTACAAGGAAGTAATTTTTACCTTTAAGTAATTAATATACATATACTGTTTGCAGATAAAAGAAAGATTATTGTTATCAAATTCTTAGATACAAAATTTGACTTTTTTAATGCTGATAATTTAAGAGCCTTTGATTCCATTGAACAAGTGTGTAAATAGAATATATATATAATTTTTAATTTATTTTATTCATTTATGCATAGCAGAAATATAGGCAACAGTTACATGTTTGGGGGTGATGGGGGTGAGAAGATTCACCAGCGACAGACTGGGGTGCAGAACAAGAAGGTCCACAAATACACTGCTGAGGGGAGCAGTGAGTGAGACAGGAGAGGTCTGCTGTGCCCTGTGGGTCAGCTCCCTGGCCAGGGATTGAACTTGTGCTGTGGTGGTTGTGGATAGTTTTATAGTGCTGAGACTTAATCCCTTGCACAACCAGGGAGGCCTTCAATGGAGTATTTCTATATCAACATCTTTACGTACTTTCATAATTAAAAGGAATCTATTCACTAATTATTTGGAAAATTTCAAAACAGTGCTCTCTTTCATTTTTGGATGTATAATTAGAGACATAAAACAAATCACCTGACAAGAAACTAGTGACCAGGACACAATTAGAATTTCAATCTTTCCCAAACTATATACGGTAGACAGCACCAATGAGTTAATAAGAAATTAGGTACATACGGGATGTTGGAAAGATGCAGAGTAGCTGATGGTGGAAAAATATTCTGGAAGTTCTTTGAGCCAGGTTTTTTAAAGCGATGCAAAGGACTATTGCTAAAATCCTTAGTCAGACCTTGGTCTTCTTGTCCCTCTCGAGGAAGCTGAACTGCCTGATGTTTGGACAGTGTAGCCCGAAGCACTTTTCCATAAAGTCTCTGACCACTAAGATGATTCATTGCTGTTGCGCACAGAAAGAAAGGGAATTTGGTTATTAGCATCTGTACAATATTTGTCCAAATTAAAATTAATTCTTTTAACCAGGTGAGAAAATAATAATGAACTATATACCAGAGACATTTTATGGGGGAAGAGTGGGGAATGGGGGAAAAAATGGGGACATGGGATAAATGCACAGGACCATGGTGATGGCACACGGATAATTTGGTGATGGGAAGCCCATGGGGATTAGGGCTTACATGGAAAAAAGCACAAAATGATGTAAAGATAAGCTATTATTTAAAAAATTAACTCTTAAAATTTATCCATATAAAACTATAACTTTATTAACATAAACGTCAATTTAAAGGTTAAAATTATTTTTAATTCAATAATTTTGAAGTAAACATATGAAACAGCTTTAAATGACTTTATTTTACTTTAATGAAAGAAAAGCAGTTAAGCAAAAATCAGCTATATTTTCAGAAAGTTCAAATGCCTGGAACTTAAGAATGTTCAGGAATGGTTATTTATTAGTGTAATCTCAAACATAGTATTTCTTATATAAAAAAAAAATCTGAGCACTAATGTTTTTAACAGTTACTATAATAATGACCAAGAGGCCACAGAAAGACATTATCTTGCACCATTAGTATGAAGTTTGTATAAACTTTTAAGCTATAAAATAATTCTGGAAAACAACATGGAAGGAAAGCAAATTAACTAAAATAAATAGAATAAAACAAATCATGTTTATCAATTATACTTAATGGGGAAACCAACAAAGTTCATATAGATAAATGAATCATTGAAAAGTAACAGATATTTTTTAATCTTAAAATATAAGCAGATCCAAATAATGAAGACATTAGCATGAAATATATGTTCAGTAGTTATATTTATGTTAGCTGTAAGTCTGATTATTTTATAGGAAAATTAATAAACCAGAGGGCAAGTTATTATCATTGTTAATCATTAGTACCTAGTTGAGCTTGATTTGCATCTGCCATCTGAACCAAGGCATTTTCTTTCTTATTAAACATAATCTTCACTCGATGCACATCACCATATACTCCTAATTAAAAAGACAAAACACATTTAAAGCTAATTTTGTAACAATTGGTTATTTTACTAAAGAAGTCTTTCTCCCCTCATGCTATATATTCTCCCTGTGTGATTTCATAAATATGCTCCCAAACTGAAATTTTTTTTCTATATTCCAAATCTATTAACTTACTCATCTTTTGTATTTGATGCGCTAAAAATACTTAATTTAATGCCCCTAACCAATTCATTTTCTCTTTCCTTTCTCTACTCTCAGTGTGGCTAACTCCTTTGGTAAACAGCACCATCATCCATGCACCTACTCTAGTAAGACGCTTTGGAGTCATCTATTGACTTCTCCTTTTCCCTAGCCCATTATATAATCACAGCCATCGTTGCGTCTATGGCCTAAATCTCTCTCAGATTTGTTCAGTCATCCCCGTCGTCATACCTCCATCAAAACTACCATCACCATTTCACACTGGACTACCATAACAAGCTCTTAATTTTATCTTTTTTTTTTCTTTAAGCATACAGAACTGGGGTGCAGGCCAGAGGTAAAGGGGCAGTGAAAGGATTCGCCAGACACAGAATGGGTAGCGAAACAGGAAGATCAATGAAGTACACTGCTCAAGGGAATAGCAGGAGAGACAGGAGAGGTCTGCCTCACCATGTGGGTCACCTCCCAGGTGGGCAATCAAACTTGCACTGAAGTGCCTGCAATTAGCTTGCAGTGCTGAGCTTAACCTGTGGAGCCACCAGGGAGGGCCCCTAATTGATCTTTTTAATTCCACTTTTCTATAATCGTAGTCTGCAAAATGGTTCCCTTACCTCAAAGGACAAGCAAAATAATTCATTAAGGGTGGAGTAGAAAATAGTCAATTTTTTATTTATACTAATTTGTTCCTATTAACCAATAATTTTTAGTATATATATAAAATTGTTAAGGATAATAGAAAAGGGCATTCTCATTCTTTTTTATTCATACTATTAAAATATATTGCAATTTATGTGCAACATGTTATTACCAACATTACAAAAATAAGACCTCTAAACAGTAGCAATATTTCCATATTCTATAAACTGCCAAGAGAATGACTACAAAAATCTTCCTGAACACAAAGAAGTGTTGGTGGATCTAGTGACCAAACAGGTAAGAACAACTGAACTCAGGTCTATGGTACTTTTAAAATTTAAAAACCAAAAGATTAGTATCTCAAATTTGCTGTTCTTTCCCCCACAAATGACAAGGGATTGACATAGATATTTCTTGCAAATAAAATAAAATTTGTTCAACAAGCTTAAAGTGACAGTTCCTTAAATAAGTGAGGAATTGCTTTTAGAAAGAAGTGCTTTAGCTATGCAAGATTTTGTTGCTGAAAATTACATGTGTCATGAACAAAACCTTTCACAGTAAAAACAAAACAAAAGATCTCTGTAGGGTAATGGAAATATTCTAAAAATGGACTGTGGTAATGGCCACTGAAGCCTATAAATGTCCTAAAATTCATTGAATTGACTACCAAAGGCAAGAGAATTGTGTAACTGTAAATTATACCTCAAAAATTGTTGGAAAAAATTGTGATATACATTTTTCAATAATTTCCTATAAAAATTCTTCCAAATGAAGAATATCTGTAAATTTTAACCCCATTTGCTAAAATATTTTAACCCAATAGTTTTTAAGATCAAGTGATATAACTTAAGAAAAAAGGAAAATTTTTTAAGGTAGAGTTACACAAAAAATGTAAGACAAAAACTAGTGGGTTAGACTGAAAAATAAGCATAAATTAATTAGGTACAATAACAATAAAATACCTCCATTTATATCGTATCTTTATGAGTTATCTTTTTCAGTTATGCCAGCCAGTCAGATTAAGTGCCAAACTAAAGTAAAATTAGTATTGGAACCTGAATACCAAAATGAAAAACACCTTTAAAAATAAAAAAGCATATTAAAACATTTCTCACTAAGTGTTTATATATTTTTATTAAAAGTGACACCATTAATTTTAAGATCCTTAAAATATTACTATTCTTCTTTCACTGTTCTTATACTTACTTATACACACCATACATAATGAATATAGTAAAAGATGGATGAACTTTATGAATTAGTCACATATAAATTAGGAGTACATGGCAATTCTTTTTTTAACTGAGATAGAAATACTACTTGGTAGACTTCCAACAATGCGGATCTCATTATGGCCCTCTCCTCCTCAAACTATGCAACTTTTCACATTACTTTTTTTTAAGATTTATTTATTTCTGCATACAGAACTGGGGTCCAGGCCAGAGGCGCAGGGGCGGTGAGAGGCTTCACCAGAGACAGAGTGGGGAGCAGAACAGGCAGGTCTACTGAAATATACTGCTGAGGGGAGCAGCGGGCAGGAGAGGTCTGCCGCACCATGTGGTTGCTTTTTGGGCAGGCGGGGATAGAACTCATGCGGAAGTGGCTTTAGCTTCTCAGTGCTGTGCTTTAACCGCTGCGCCACCAGGGAGGGCCCTTCACATTATTCTTAGGTTAAAAAGAAAAATTTAGTGTAGCTTACAAAGGTCTTCATGATTATGCTTCTAATCCTTCCGATCACTTTCAGCATGTCTTTCCATTCATGTGATTTCCATTGGGTTCCCTTTACTTCCATGTTCCAGCAGCTCCCCCTTCTCTCTCTGATAATACGTGGTACAGGTCATTTGGCTCCCCTTTCTGCCTAGTTAACTTTTATTTAAGTCAGCCTCACAACCATTTCCACTGGTACATCATCTATGATTTCCTCAGCTAGATTAGCTCTCTCAGCCACATATTCCCATAAGCTCTATTTTAAAAATTTCATTTTAATTGTAATACTTACTAAGTCTTATTTGCCATTTTCTCCTAAGAATCAAGCCAATTACTTGGCACACAGAGATAATAAATATTACTGAATGATGAAATATACTCACATTCCACATGGGGGAGGGGTGAGGAGGGGGAGGGGTGAGGAAACTTACCAAATAGGATAAAAAGTCCATGTGGTGTGATAAGCTGTTTGAAAAACAAAACACAAAATATAAGTATTGGGCTGACTTATATTTAAAGATTTATTTTATGTATTGATGCATATAAGAACTAGGGTATAGGCCAGAGGTGTGGGGAGGGAGGGAGGTAGTGTGTGTATATAAGAGAGAGAGATCGCCAGAGACAGAGTGGGGAGCAAAACAGGTGGATCTACTGAAATATACTGCTGAGGGGGACAGCCAACACAACAGAAGAGGTCTATTGCGTCATGTGGGTCAGTTCCCTGGCTAGGGCTGAAACTCATGCTGCAGTGGCTGCAGATAGCCTCATAGGGCTGAGGCTAACCCCTGAACCACCAGTGAGGTCTCCTTTGGCTAACTTGAATAAAAATTTAAACTAAGTTATTATGTAATGATGGCAGCTGACTTTGTTTAAAGCAAGGATTTTATATACTTCAACCTGTATATCATCCCCTTCGTGTCCTCAGGTAATTGGTTCCAAAATCTCTGCAGATACCAAAATCCAAGAGAACTCAAGTCCCTTATATAAAGGGACTACCACTTGCATATAACCTATAAACATGCTCCTGTACACTTTACATAATCTCTAGATTACTTATGATACATACATAATACATGTAAGTACTATTTAATAGTGTTACACTACATTATTGTGAGAGTAATGACAGGGGGAAAAGCCTACAGCTTAACTATATAGCACATATTTTCCAACTACAGTTGCTTGATTGTTGATGAGGAAACTGGGCACAGTGGGCCTACTGCATATACCATTGATAAATTTGATAAACAAAAGTCCCTAAAAACAAATTTAAATTTTCATATGAAGACAACCTTTCAGGAATAAGCTATTACGCCTATTCCTGAAAGACTATTTACATATAATACATTCCAACTCACGTCAGGATTGAGATTGGTGACAAGTAGGACAGAATTTCCAGGTATACCACCAGTCCCAGGAATGGCCATCCTTCCAGTGACTGCAGAAGAGGTGAGTGTGAGAGGACCAATACCTCCAGGAACAGCTGGGACTGACAGACCTTTTAAAAACATCAAAAGCATTTCATATTCCAGTCATCTGGAGAATTATAACACAACATGTAACTTTAGTAGATAAACGAAGACAAAATAGGGAAGAAAGCATGTTGGAGCTCTCATTAGAATGTCAAGGGCCAGTTATGCCTGGGGTCAAGTCTTTCTTTCACATAATCTTATTCAATATTACTGAACAGTACTGTGCAGAACAACCCACCTATCATAGAAATCACAAGGCTTTTTGGAGAGTTATCAACTACAAGCAACCCCTGTTTCTTGAAAAACATAAGTTCTAGCATGCTTTTATAAAGTAGATGTACTTTTCACAGCAACTTCTACCATAAAAAAAAGTATTACAAAAAAGTCTTAGTAGAAGTCACAAATACACATGCTAGGTGGTAGTGGGGTACAGCCATCTGTTTGGGGAAAGCAATGGGTAACTTTGTAAAATGCTACATAAACATTATTACCACAATGGTAAGATTTATAAAATTCGGTATTTCTTTTGTTGTTGAAAGAATTTTCAAATTCTCTCTTTTCTCCTACAGATTCTAGACTTACTCCAAGTTCAGAACACAAAAATCTGACACTAAACACTTAAAACAACAAAGGATCTTGGAAGTTCCCATGCTTAATGGCCTCAGCTTTGTGTAAAATGAACCAGCTCTTTAATTTACTCTTTACATTCAACATTCCTTGTAACAGGTAAGAGTATGGTCACCTCACCACAAATCACGTAATTAAACTATAGTTTACATCCAGTGAACTTTGTGTTCACTGCTGAGTTCTAAAACCACACAAGGCCACATTATCAGGATGGAAACTTTCCCATGAAATCTCTGTTAAACAGTCCTTCACATAACCTGTTTCCAAGCCCCTCCTCCAATCAACCCTACAACTTCAGCTCTGCGTGTTTATGGTGATGGGAGTTCTATGATGACTACATCTGAGGGGAGAAATCATGTATTTTCCAAACATCAAAAAATATATATATAAAACCGACTATTTTTGGATAACTGGTGGGCCTACGCTACAACCACAGGAGTACACCAAGCTACACTACAGGGTGTAAACTGGTCTATGTGTTTGTGTATATACATATTCCCCAGATGACTTGAAAAGTCAACTCAGGAACTCTCATGTATATTTTTCTCTTAATATCTACTATAGTATTACATATATTTATATCAATACCATATAATAATAAAATTTCCAAGTATGTATCAATTAAGCATGGGGGAGCCTACAAATAAGTAAAAATTATGTGTAATGCTTTCTTTGTCTATTATAATAGAACACGTACAACATTCACATGTTAAAATGTTTTCAAAACACCAAAACTTAAACGTCAGTGTTCTCTTTTTAGTAAAAATGCCACCTTTTCCATCAGAGTAATTAAAATTCCCAGAATTAGAAGGACAAGATAGGAGATTTCTACTAAAATACCGATATATTGCAATTAAAATATAGTTACAATCATGAACCTGTTGCAAATAAAACACAGACTCAGATGGGAAACCCACGGGGATTAAAATTGAGATGGAAAAAAAAAAGTACAAAATGATGTAAAAATAAACTATTATATTAAAAAAACACACAAACTCAGCTTAATTTAGGGTTACTCTCTTAATCACCAACTCCAGTGATGAAGTAAAACCATCAAGCAATTTTTTCCCCATTTTCTTAACTTATGATCAAATTAATTTTGCTTACTATTTAGAAAAGAGAGCTATCATCAAAGTTATTAATTAAGTGCTAGCTCTTAAATATCTTTTAGCTATGGAGAAAAATATTCCTTAAATAGTCTGCATTACTGACCTCTATACTAAATCTGCTAAACCCATGAGTGACAAGAATGATAGGAAAATCAATTAAAAAAAAAACTGACTTAACACTATGTACTGAATGCTACCAAGGACACTGAGTACAGATTTGTTCAAGATGCCACTTATACTGAAATAAACAAATCTAAGGTTACTTAATATAGTCAGCCTAGGTGAGGCATAAATGATGCAGAACATATAGTCAAATTATTGGGGTTGAAATGCAATCAGTGAGAATTTGTTGTAAATATAAGGGATCTGTGTATCATCCAATGGTTGATACACATAATGCTTTTATTGTAAAATCTTCAAATGTGTTAATATTTTTCATCTTGGTAAATTTTTACAAAGAAAACAGCATTAGAAATCATTTCAAATTCAACTTTAAAAGAGTCACCTGTAGCTTGAGGAAATCCAATGGCTGGGGCAAATCCAGCAGCCCCAGTATATGGTGAGGAAATTATACCTGGCGCACCTAATGGGGAAAAGAAGCTAAAATAAATATACTACCTTCTATAAATATGGTCATTCAAGCAATATAAAATGGCTCTATGAGAGTATATTAATGATATTCTGTTGTGGAGTAACAATTTGTTCAACAGGTGACCCTGAATGTTAAGGAAATAGCCCCTGCTACTTGTAGAGGCTAACCCTTCCAGTTGGGTTCAAGGGACAGTAACGCAGCTAAGCTGTTACTTATTTTTGTACTAGGTTGAGATTGTTGTCTAAACAGCTGTGTTTTTATGTTAATGTCAGGTACTCACTAAATTTTATTGTGACTATGAGATACTAGGTTGATATAAAGAAATGAGATAAAAACCCTTAAGGCTTATAAAGTATGAATTACAGGAAATTTATATGCTGAGGACCGAGTGGTTTAAATATTATTGCGCTGCACTTCTAAGAAGAAGGGATCATAAAAGACTTCACTGTGACTGGTTGGAGGTTTCTCAAGAGGTAAAACCTGAGCTAGGTATTATATATATTAGAAAACACAGGACTTTTTCTGTAGTAGAGACTACACAGATGCTTCTTCCCCTTCTCTTAAGGAAGCCTGATGACTGCACCATCAACAAAAGTGTATCATTTCCACAGGGGTGTTGGGTATTATCAGAAAAACAATTTGGTTTTGGACATGTCGAGGTTGAGGTAATGGTAATTCATTTGAAGAGAAATGTCCACTAGCCGAAAGGAGGAAACAAAATGATAATCACCATTATAAGACAACTACTGGTAAACTGTATGGAAATAAATGTGGATCCATATGGGAATTCGTATGAGTGCCACTAAAAAGAGGAAAAAAACAGAAAGCTGAAAATATAATCTGGGAGTACTAGAGTACACCTAAGTGGTACAAAAACTAAGGAATATTCTGAAAAGAAAAAAATTTGGAAACGGGAAGCAATAACAGTTATATGTAGTAAAATGATATCTGTAGTCCCTCAGAATTCAGAGCAACGGAGGTTCAAAGTGAGGGAGGGACAACCTTTGACAGAGGTCAAAAGGAATGAAAATGAAGGTAAGGAATACTCAGTGAAAGATAGAAAAGCAAAAGCAAAGAGAGGTGTATTCTGAATAAGCATATTCATAGGAAGAAGTACATTTTCCAGGAGTTAGAAAGTTCGCAAAAGTTTATTTTTTGATGAACATTTATTCTTCACTAAAGGGATCATGTAACAGAACTTTTCAACTATGTAGCTGTGGTTTATTATAATAATTCAAGAAAATAAATCAGTAGGAGACTGCAGAAAGTGCTTGCAGAAACAACTGACAATAATGTAGCTACAAAAACGAGAATAACTAATGAAATAAGGGAAAGTTTAGCCTACTTAACTCACTTATTGAAAGCACATCAAACATTCTTCTAGTGCTGAGGAAGCACTGAACCATCCAGTCAAGACTCTCCATTCTTGCTAAACTTACATTCAGGTTTGCTTAAGCTCACAACTTAAACAGTTCATTTATACAATAGAAATGAACTTTAAGGCATAAAAAATGACTTAAAAAAAGACTTTAATATAGTTATAATTATGACAATTTACCAAGCCATTGTAATTATTTAAACATACAGAGATATAGATCAAATGCTTTGCCACTTCCATAAAACTGATGAGGCCTGTGATTTGCAGTGGACTGTGTTTGATCAAGAATACAGACAGAAATAACATATACCACTTCTACACAGAAGCTTCAAGAGGCATTAGTATTAACATTAGCTCTCATATTCTTCAGTTTCTGTCACTCAAATAAGGGTGGGGGGTAAGGAGTGTAAGTCAGAACACTAACAGATTTTGGAGAAATAAGGAAAATGTTTGAGATAATTATTAGAACTGTCTAACAGTTACCAAGGCCAAACCTAAAAAACTATTCCCAAGTAAATAGTAATAAAACACGTATACAAATTTTTATAGTCTTATAAAATGTCCATATAGCTGTATTACCCAAATAAATACAGTAACATTTTAGTAATATAACCTGTTACATAATTGCTTAGGTATCTTTTTGAAAAGATTGTTATACAAACTTTAAGGGAAAGTTTATATGATTAATATACAAGGTGAAAAATACCTTTTAAGAACTTTTGAAAAATCAGGAGTGGTATAAAAGGGGATGGTCAGGGTAAATCAACGAAAAGAATCTAGCACAAGCAAAATATGCCTGAGACATCTGGAAGAAAAACACTCCAGGCAGAGGAAACATCTGTAACATGTTTAAGAAACAACAGCAATGTCTATTTGGTGGACAGTAGAAAGAAAGGGAAAGTGTCAAAGGAGATTATATGAAAAAACAGTAATCCTGGACCAGATGATATCAAATCTTGCAATCTTACTTTGAAAGAAATGGGAGCCCATGGAAAACCATTAACATTAGATTGAACTATGACTTTTTAAATTTTAATTCATATACAATAAAACATGCATATGTAAAAAGGTACTATGTAAAGATTTAATGTCTATTTAAAATGTGAGGTCATCTAAATCAAGGTAAATATTTCCATTAACTCTAAAAAATAACCTGTGTTCCTTTGTAATTCTTCTCTGTAAACCCTGTCTCCTGCTTTATGTCATGACAGATCTTTTTATCTTATAGACTTATACATAAACAGATTTACATGGTAGGTGGTTCCTTTTTTGTCTCATTTCATCATAATGTCTCGACTAGATTTTATTTTTCGTTCAGTATAATTCTGTTTTCCTTATTCCTTGTCCTACTAACCTTATATTGACTTTAATTTTCTTCTTCCCAATGATTAAAGATATTGGGTATTTTTTTTATGTACTCTGCCATTCACATTCATCATCTGGAAATTTCTACTTCAAATATTTTGCCCATTTTTATCAATTTCTTTAATAGTGAACTATAAAGCTCTTCATATAATTATAACTGATTTGTCTGATATATGTATGACAAATATTTTTCTTCAAGTTTATGAAGTTTGCCTTTTGGGTTTTTTTTTAAACAGTATTTTAAGATTGAGGACCTATTTCAATATGTAGTGTGGTATGAGGTTCAGGTTGCTTCTTTTTTCCAAAATGTATAAAAAATACCAGTTAAAAGCTAATTCCTTCCACTATCAAATTTGACATTGACTATTTTGTTGAAAGTCAACCGACCAGTTCCTTATGGTCTATTTTTCTAGATTCTATTCTGATCTATATTTCTTTAGTGGTATTACCAAACTGGTTTGATTATTGTAGCTTTATATGAAATCTTACAGTCAGGAAAATTAATCGGAATTCCTTTGATTATTCTACTTGCATAAATTTAGAAATTTGGTCCACTTTACTAAAAAAAGAAGAAAATATTGAGATTTAGGGAAAAATTAATGAAATAAAGCAGTTTTATCAAGGCTGCTGGATACAAAATCAAGAAGCAATAATATATTTCTACATTAGCCATAGTTAAAAACAAAACTGACAATTGCTGAAAGTTATATTACATTTATTCCAAGCAGCACCCTAAATTCTTTATCTAATGTTAAAGAATAATACTGCTCAAACCTCCTACCAGTATTATTAAACTCATTTTACATATGAAGGAAAAAAAAGAGCAGAGCAATTAAGCAATCTGCCAAAGGCAATAGAGATCATAAATAATAGCTCCAGGATCAAAACCTATAAAGACTGGTTCTTAGGAATAAATCCAACAAAGCACATGCAAACCTTGATAGGAAAAAGTCACCAAACTTCACTGAAAGATACTAAGCAACAGAAATGAGTGGAGAGATGTACAATGTTCAAACAACATTAACTTTAAAAGGTGATAAAGTCAATTTGTAATCTGATCAAAACCCAGAAATGTTTTTTCAGGCTAAGAGGGGAGGCAGGGTGGTTGATGAGCTGATCCTAAAAGCTGTCATTACAAATGGCAGGAATTGCCTATATACTGTAGAAGAATAAGGTAAAGGCTTATTACTCTATCAGATATTGAGGTTTGCACTAATGACAAAAGAGAAATAGACCAATGGAACAATGACCAGAAAATGACCTAAGTGAATATTAATTTTAAGTTAATGGTATGTATTAGCAATTCTGGAACTATAATCTGTGTACTCTCGGATGAGTAAATAAGGAGAGGATAATGAAAGAGATAATGGATAATGAATGAGAAATGGATGCTGGATTAGAATTGGTGTTTAGCAATTAAATCTCATGATTTTTTTTTAACATACAAAGAAAACAGATCTATGAAGCACACACACATACACACAAATATCCTAGTCACGTCCACTTAAAGTGCTGAGAAGCAGGGACTCACTATTAGCAATGAGTACATCAAATGCCTACTTACTGATTTCTAAATTCCATTCCACTAAAAGGAACCAGGTCATTGGAGAAATGGCCAATAGCAGTTTGTTTTTATAGATTTATTTTTTTATGCACACAGAACTGGGGTACAAACCAGAGGTGCAGGAGGTTGTGAGAGGCTTCACCAGAGACAGAAGGGGGACAGGACAGGCACACTGACTAAGTGCACTGCTGAGGGGAGCAGCCAGCGGGTCAGGAAATTTCTGCCACACCATATGGACCACCTCCAGGGTAGGGGATTAAACTCGTCTGGCTAAGCTCGCTTGCAGTGCTGCGTCCTAACCCGTTGCACCACCAGGGAGGGCCCCAATTGCAGTTTTATAGCAGGTACGGTAAAGAAGATTCTGGATAGTAATAAACATGGGCATTTTACATGCTTTGTAAACTTTTGTATAGGTGTAAGAAGCACTAAGAACAGGGGTACAGTACTTAAGGCTTAACCCTAGGAATTTTAAAGAATAACCTTTAAAAGAAAAAGAGCCAGTAAGGCAGAATATGTCAGGAGAGTGTGGTTTTAGAAGCGAAGTGAACTATTAAGTATTAATAAAGACAATTAACTCACAAAATACATTAAGTATTGTTCTCTGGTGAATCACCTATCTTAGAGAATAAACAATACTTCGCAATGAAAAAAGTTGTTAATATTCTAATATTTTACATTAGAAACCAATTTTTACTCTTTTTTTAAAAAGATTTTTTTCTTTATGCATACAGAACTGGGATACAGGTCAGAAATATAGGAGGTAAGGAGTCACCAGAGACAAGAGTGGAGAGCAGAAAAGTGAGACAAAAGATATGCCACACATCCCTGGACAGGGGTCGAACTTGTCAATGGCTTCATAGTGCTGTGCTTTAACAGCTGCGCCACCAGGGAGGGTCCTCTTACTCATCTTTTAAGAAAATTTTTGCACAATGAAGAACACTAATTATACCAACAGAATAAATTCAACTATTGGAATGAGTATACAATTCTGTATTTGATAGCCAAGTTTTGGCATACTTGAATGATAGCCCATTTTTACCATTTGTTATTGAGATGGTAATTGCAAATACCTTTGGCTCCAACAAATCAAATGATAATAATTAGGAGCTAGTAAAAAATGTAACAACTTGATCTGAAAAAAAAATTGAAATTTCAGCAGTTTAAAAAAAAATGCACTGAAGAATTCACTTGATGTTTTAGTTATAAACAACATAAAGCCTTTTACTTTGAAATAAAGTTACAACCTATTTTATAGATAATTCTGGACAACAATTTTGCAAAGCGTTCTTTTTCCTCACTTGAAAGTCTAAAGTAGCCATAATTCATATGTCATTTTGGAAAGGAAAATCAATCACAAAGGGTAATAAAATTTAATAATATCTAAATAATCAAACACACTTTTGAAAACTGGAAAACCATGTAGTAGTCTAACATTGACCTAATGATGTATCCAATTAGGCCATCGACTACTTCTACCTTTAAAGAAAGATTCACTTTTAAAGTATTGATATAAATATGTGAAGACTTTAAATAAAAGGAAGTCTTCAAAGCAGTATTTGCAAAAACAATTTAGAAAGCTGTAGTTCATTAACGAAAAAAATGCAACCTCACACAAACTTAAAGATGGAAATTCTGAAGTCTAAAAAATACTTTAAAATCTTGGAAAAAAAAAATCCTTGAATAAAGAACATTCACCCAGGTAGTGTTTTAAAATGTAGCTACTTAAATAGGAAGAAGTATTTCTTAGGAGCTCTTATTTTGCTGTCTATAAATAAACCAACATACTTAAATTAGTGTTAACGTGAATCTGTCTACTTGAAGAGAGGGAATGTAGACCTTATAAAGAATGACTAATATTAACATTAGAAAATGAAACTTGAAGTCAATTTCAGCTATACACGTTTTGCCAACTAATAAAAGCTATTAAGATTTAATTAATGGGCGTATTTTGTTCCATGATTCTTGCTTTCTTTTAGAAATCCTGACATACATGAATTTATAAATAAAACTTAAAACTTCAAAAACGTGCTTTGTGATTCAAAACAGAACTACTCACCAAAAGCAGCAGCCATAGGGGGTTCAAGGGATGGCTGGCCATCACCAGTAGGAAGGTCTAAGCGAGTGAAGTCTCTGCTTTTGTCATTATTATATTTCACATTAAGGCTGGTGAGCTTGGAGAAGTCAATGCGCAGAGTGCAGCATGCATTATAGATATTCTGGCCATCCAGAGCCTAAAGCATGTAAGAAAGGGACTGATGTTTTGAAGACAACAACACTGATAATTTAAGCAGCCTCCACTTTGACACAGAGTAGCAATCAGCTGTAAAGCAGAGAGCAATGGACTAGAAGAGAAAGACCTGTATTTCAGCTGATTGAGTCTGAGAAAAAGAAATTCGCTAACTCTCAATATTTTCATCTGTAAAATAAGAATAATCCCTTATCTTGTCCATGGTAAGATCACATGAAAGAGGAGATTATGTAAAAGCTTAGAAAATAATGATATTATTATACTATCAATTATAATTTGCCCACAGCAAATCCTCAAAGATATAACAACTGCAAATTTCATCCTAATTCCTTTTAGTTTAACATATACAGGTTAGGATGCAATAAAATCCTTATATATGGTACTTGTCAGATCTACAATATATGAAATAATATTTACCATCTATTGCTCTTCTCTTGTAACCTTATAATACTTTGAATAGTAGGTTGAGAGAAATCTGGAGTCAGTTCAAATATAAGGCAAAAGATTAATTCCCTCTATCCAAATAACAATTTGCCAAAGGGTATCTGTGGTCACTTATGACTTCCATAGATATTCAAACTTATGAAGAGTTACCAGAAACTAAAATACTAAAATAAAACAAAGCACAAATGTATAAAACCCTGACTTGATGTACAAGACACCCTGACTTATGACAGCAACTGACATGTAAGTCTTCAAGTAATACATGCTGGCAGAGGGTACAGCGACAAGAAAGGCCACACTCCTAATTGAGAGCCAGGTACTACTGTGTCACACCAACATACGATAAGCCTTAGTTCCTATCTTTCAAAAATCACTGGAAATAGTCCAGATGAATGACATATAACAGAACCACAATTAGGGCTGGAGAGTAATAAAAGAGAAGTCAAGTATAAGCAACCTGAGTTGTGCATGGATTAAAAAAAGACAACATGAATTGACAGCAGCATATTTTTAAAGATATGTCTTCAATTCAGAGCTCAGCAGAATTCAACAGTGAATATGGCTACAAAAGTAGTGTTCAATCTTTTGCTAATATGACAGAAGTAAATGAAGACACAAGCACAAAGATAATTCTACTTTATTAGTCAGGTTATATCAAAAGCATTGTGCTCAACTATAGACAAATATGAAGAGGAAATGAGTCCCAGAAGTCTGAGAAATGATAGCACATGAATTGGTACATTTAAAAGCTGTAAATGTCATTTATGTATTTTTACCAAAAAGCTTTTAAAATACATTGTAAATTGGATTAATGAAAAACATCTATGATCACTTCCTTCAGTTGTCACTAAAGTGACTGATTAAGAATTGAAAAATGAAGTAAAGAACATAATTACCATTTTGGCATACTGTGCATTCAATGGGTCAGCATACTGAAGCAAGGCTTGAAACTGATTATTCTTTGTAAAGGTGATAATCTTCAAGACTGTGCCAAATTTAGAAAATATCTGGAAAAAAGTTCACATTATGTTAAATGCAAGAAAAAATTTAGACTAACCAACTTTTATGAATAAAAACTGATTCATGAATCCCATTTTTAAATGGAAATAATTTCCTCTATTAAAACTTTCAGTACTGGAACCTCCCTGGTGGTGCAGTGGATTAAAGTGCACCACTATGAAGCTATCAGTAGTCTCTGCAGCACAAGTTTGGTCCCTGGCCAGAGAGCTGACCCACACAACACAGCAGATCTCTCTCCTGTCTTGCCCACTGCTCCCCTCAGCAGTGAATTTTGGTAGATCTGCCTGTTCTGCTCCCCACTGTCTTTGGTGAATCCTCTCACCCCCTGTACCTCTGGTCTGTACCCTAAGTTCTTGTGTGTATAAATAAATAAGTCGCTTACAAATAAATAAATAAAGCTGTCAGTACCAAAATCATTTAAATTAATATTTAAAGTTAACCTTTGGGGGAAAAAAGGTGTTTATCTTTAAATATTCATGCCTGGTTTAACACAGTGCTTGACACACAACAGGCACTCAAATATTTAACCTATTCTATGCTATGTCAGAAATATAATGGCTTTACAAGGCATAGGAGCAGAAGTTGAACAGTCCCTTAGAATCAGCATATACTTGAAATTTTAATAGAAAAACTAGAAGATATTGAAAGAGAAGCTGCTAATGATTCAAATATTCAGAGACAAGAGTCTGCACTTATGAAGAAAAACAGATGGCAAACACACAAGTAAACAGCAATATCTAGTCACGAAAGGAAGGAGTGAGAGAAAACCAAGTGCAAGCTAAAAGGTAAAGAAAAGTTAAGGAAGCCTCTCTGAGGTATCTTTTGAGAAGAGGAGTACACAGAGTATGGATAAGGTTTTCTTACTGATTCCAGGTTACTAACACTCTTACCATACTTGTTCTGTCATAGCACCACAAAGGTTCATGGTCAGGATTACCATATACTCTGAGAATTGGTTGGAGAATTATGGTAAATATAGTTTTGTAAATAATAAACATACCCAATATAAAATAAAGTAACAAATATGTAATTTGCTATTGTTTGGAAGATAAAAGCAATCATTACTAAATTATGATGTAAATACTACCTAATTTCCTTTCCCCTTCAACTTTGTTAATGTTTAGATTCTTTATTTCACTTAACATAAACAACCTGAAGCACACCCTCAATAATACCTGCCTAGCTATGTGATTCATCTCAATCTGCTGAAGACTATACATTGACTGATCGAACCATGGTTCATTAGAAGAAATCAGACTGTCAAATAGGTCACACAAAAGTCCATCATATACTAACCTCAGTAGACCCCTCAAACAACATTAAAAGAACTTAATACCCAAGACAACAGAACTAGTATTAAAAAATAGGAAGCCCTCAACAAACAAACGATAAATCAACCAGCCAAACAAATAATAAGATGATAATGAGCTCACAGGTCTCAATAAACACCTCAAACAGAAAGGGCCTCCATTTGCCAGTCAAAAGATTGAGTGACTGAAAGGTTTTCAAAACAAAATCTAACCATTTATTATTTACAAGAAACTGACCTTACCAAAAAAGAGAAGCATAGTTTTAGAGTTAAAAGCTAGAAGACAGTGATACAATCAAATGAGAAACAAAGGAAGGGGGGGAAAACGTTAAAAAAAAAATCCAATACAATGCCAATTAGTAAAGGTAATAATGGATGGAGAACACTACTGTTACCTAGAAATTAATATGATACAAGAATAAGAAATACCACTCATTTATACATAGAATGATGGAGCACTGGAATATAAAAGATAGTAACAGAACTTAACAGATATACTGGTAACAATACAATACTGAGAGACTTTCATACCCCACTTATACCAACAGAAAGATTGGAATCAGAAAACAAAGCCTTAAATTAGGAGTTAGACTAAACATGCCTAGCCAACCTCTACAGAACATTCCACCCCAAAATCACTGAATACACACTTCTTATATACTTTAAAAAATTCAAGTATTTGAAGAAAAAGGAAATAATCACCAAAAAAAAAATCTGATTATTTATTTCTAGTATAAAACAGTATTCTGTTCTTTTCTTTTTATCAACCAAAACAACAAGCTAAAGGAGACAGTGCTTCCATAAATGTGCTCCTCCTTACCTGATGAAGAACTTCCAGAGTAACAGGGTAAAAGAGGTTTTCGATAATTATTCGCAGCACAGGGCTCTGCCCAGGTAAGATTGTGCCTTCATTGGTAGAAGCTCCAGGAAGGGCCAGACTTCCAGACTGGACAGCACTGACAGCCTGCAATGCAGCTTGGACTCTCTACATAATAAAAAATGAGAACTTCTGATTACATAGCAGCATTATATGAACCCTAAAAATTAGCTGATATGAAGTAACAGCTAAATAAAAACATCATTATCTACTCATTCTGGATGTGTATCTATTCCATTTGTGATCACTCAAGAGTCAAAAGACCCAACGTCTTACCACAATGACAGACAAATCAGTCAAATTTATTTGATGGGCAAAAAAAATACATGGCAAATGCAGAGGGAAACTTTTATTTTTATGCCTACTTTTTAAATGACAATGGAGGAAAATTATTAAAATAATGTTAAAGGTAACTTAAAATCAATCAAAACCTCTTCCCCTCACACCCCCTTCACAAGCAATTTTATTTCTAAAGTCTTCTGGTACAATATGGAGGAGGAAAAGAGTTGTAGGGATTCAGCTGGATTAGGAAGGCATCCTGACAGAGAGCACCAAAGCCTGGGTGATACCAGAAAATCATGATGAGTAAGGCTACCTGCCAGTGAGAATCGAACAGCCTGGCCAGGAGTGTCGGAGTGCAGAGTCAGGAATGGGGGTCCACATGGCCCGGGGGTTAATGTGGTCAAGAGCAAGGTAAAGAGGAGGATGAGGAGGGCTTGATTGGGCTAAGGAAGACATTCGGTGGATGAGAAGGCTGACATGGAGTGTTGAGCCCAAGGGGCGGTACACAGACATTTCTAAAAATCAGGTTCCAAGGAAAGAAACACAGGCGTGCTAAAAATGTCCAATTCCAGAGGAAGCACCAGGAAAGGATAGTACTTGTGTATTTTTGTTTTCAAACAAGTAGTTGTTCGTTTTTTTTTTTTAACCAAAATGCAAAGAATGAGGGGAACATGTTAAAGGGTTTCCAAATTGCCAAATGTAGTACAATTTGAAAATCAAAGCAAAGATCAATAATTAATCCATCAATAACAAAAACAGGAAACCAAGTCCATACTGAAATAAACTGAGAACTTATAAGGAACAGTAAGCTTAAAATACCTTAAAACAATATATCCCAAAATATTTTTCTTTACCCAAAGGGCATAAATTAACATCAAAATCATAAAAGCATGTGCCATCTTATATGTTGTAACAAATAAAAGGGAACATTATTTTTGTGATACATCAAAGAATCTTATCGTAAAAAACATCACACAAACTCAATTGAGAAACATCCTAGAAGATAAGGTGCTGATAATTTTCAAAAGTTTCAATGTCATAAAAGTCAAAGACAAACTGAGGAACTGTTTCAGATTAAAGGAAACTAAGAAGATAGGAATTCTAAATCAAACGTGATTCTGAAAGTTTGTTTTGCTGTAATAAACATCATGAGGATAATTGGCAATGTTTGAATGTGAACTAAAGGATAGAGGGAAATAATACATCAATGTGAATTTCCTGATTTTGACTACTGCATTCTGATTGTGTAGAAGAATGCCCTTGTTTGTAGGAAATGCACACTAAACATATTGAACAATGAAGACAGGCCTGTTTAGCACTTTATTCCCAAATGTCTTGAAAAAAATCAAAAGCTCTCTATATTATATCTACAACTCTTTTAATTTTCTGACTGTCTCAAAATTTAAAGGATCTTAAAAAATGAAAAAAAGGAGGGCAAACGGAGGCTAGTAATAAATGAAGTTAAATGAAAGTTTTCATCAATCTTTTGTTTACTACTTTTAATACTGGTTATCAGTAAAATATCTGTGTCATAAAATGAAAACTCCCACCACTTTAATGTAGCAATTTTCATTCACTTGTTATTTTAAAGATCAGTTTTCATGAGTTAAATTTTTACTGTATCATATCATTCCACTGATGTACTTTGAGTAGTTTTCCAACATTTTGCTAGAACAAATAACTTTAATGACTATTAAATAAAATAACTTCTAAAAACAAGCAGTTAAAAAAAAAGATTTATTTATTTATGCATACAGAACTGGGGTACAGGCCACAGGTGCAGGTAGTGAGAGGATTCACCACAAAGCAGGGAAAAGAGTATGCAGATCAAAGAAGTACACCGATGAGGGGAGCAGCAGGGGGGTTTTCTATGCCATATGGATCACCTCCAGGGACAGGGATCGAACTCGCACTGAAGTGGCTGTAGCCAGCTTGCAGTGCTGTGTCCTAATACAATGTGCCAGCAGGGAGGGCCAAATAGGCAGTTTTTTATTTTCTGTATGCTTAACACTGAAAAATTTCCACTTTTATATTTACTACAACTATTTTTATCCCTGTCCTCAACATTATAACAGCATTTATAGAACTTACACTGATATTTATGCATTAGGTAATATATAACTGCCAACTATTCATTTTCCAAAAAATTATTGTATTTTGAGGACAATATTAATATGAATAATTATTTGAATATTTTCTAACATTTGTTTTTGAAACTATGCCCTTATAAAACCAAGTATGGAATACTCAGTCCCAATACCCAATCCCACTTCAAAAATGGCCGTTATCCCATTCATTTCACATTGATCTTGCTGGTACAATTTTATCTGAAATAAGGGTTTCTACTGCTTTAGAAGGTATGAGAATTGAATCAGATTTCCACTTAGAGCCTATAACAAGGTGAGGATAAGGTGGGGAGGTGACACAGTGAACAAAGACCAAGAACTGACAAGGGGTCAGAATTAGCAGAAGATATTATACATAACTATATCCTTATTCCCCTTCCTACCCCTACCCCCACAAGAAGGTAAGCAGAGACATGGAGATACAGTGCTAGCCCACATAATGTTCTGTAATGATGGGATCATTCAACTATCTGCTCTGCACAATATAGTAGCCACTAGCAATGTGTGGTTATCAAGAACTTGAAATATAACCAGTTCAACTGAGGACATGAATTTCTTGACTTTTATATTTAATCAAGCTTAGAAATGTCAAGAAAAAGATAGCTCATAGTGAGACTTTAAGTAGAATAATGGTTCCTTCCCCTCTTAGAATGAGTAAATCTTATCAAAACTAAGCCTATACAGTCAAAAATGAACTTAACCTCACTGACTTTACTTCACCCTCCTATCATTCCATCAATTTTTTTAAATTAAGCAATTCTAAATGAATGCATGCTGCTTCTAGTGCTATTATTGCTACTGCTCCAGTTGTTCCTCTCCCCCAACCCTCCCCTTGATGGCAGAAGGAAAACCACAGTGAAGAAATATGGGAAGCCATGGTGTGTCGTGATGTAATTATTCTAGAGTTGTCAGAATACTCTGCTTTAGTACCTCACAGAACACTGAGTATAAAAATAAAAAGGGCATGCAAAAAGTACTTTAGAAAATTAAATTGAGAAAATAACAGCTAAAAAATATTTATAAGTAAGTCTATAGCTTCAATTTTAATTAAGCAAATATATTTCAACACGAAAATACAAATAGAGGTATAGTTCACAGAGGATAATAGAAAAATCAAACAAACAAGCAAGGATGTCATAGCATGTGAAGATGTATTTCAGACACACAGAAAATATAACCTGTAAATCTGATTCAACAAATTCTGAGAGAGCAGAATTCCTAGTATGGGACACACCACTTATAAATGTTTCACAGCAACAAACTCTCTGGATGGTTACAGTAATTATTAATGAAGGATGTAGCAACAGGTAGTATTATCAGGAAACCAACAAGCATTTTATTGTGATAGGGGAGGGAGACACACACTTGATTGGAAATCAAAGTCAAATGGAAGTGGATATAGATAAAATTCACAGGCATTAACAGTTCAGTTTGATTATTTTTAGCACAATGTTTTTGGGAAAATTCTCCCATGGATATATCTTTTTGCAGATTTATAAACTTATTTATAAACACAGTTAAGAAAAACTAAGATAATGACTATGATTAACACAAACTATTTCTTGAATGCTATACCTCAAAACATCTGAATTTTGTAGCTAAAACATTAGTTTAAATTAAGTGATAACAACACTTTGTAGTCACCTGACCCACTGGGAAAGCTTGTCCTTAAGCTGGGAAAGAATTAATGTGTGCATTTGGGGATAATTTGTTCTTCAGAGAACAAGAAAGAATTCAATACTAACTTGAAAACTTTTGGTGGGTTCTCAGAATAAAGATACCGTATTTTTATATATATGCATACAGGTACTTTCAATTTTTAATTTAACTTTAGTATATGGCTTTTAATAGAAAAAAAATAGTTTATCAAACATCAATACAAAAAAATTCACAAAAGTAAAGTGAAGGGGACACCAGAAAGGAGTCAAGGCTATCTAAGAATAAACTAGGTCATTTGGGCTGGTTGTGGTTGCCAAGCAACTGGATTGCTCACTGTTTCCCTTTAGAATAACTTTGTTAAATTGTTTATTCTTTTTCAAGACTTATACTAACATATCTAGGAATCACACTAATACCTAAACTATCCAACTTACAAAATTTTAAAAATCTACTGAGACAAGAAACAAAATGTCATTTCCTCTCACGTTTATCAGAAAGTAATATGAATCTTACCTTCAAATGAATCAATAAAACAAGCCAATTCCAACTATTTTGGGGGGATAAGAGTTACCCAGATAATTCTAATATATATGGAGAAATAAGATATATTAATTAGTGATTTCTGGAAGAAAAGCAAAGAATGAAGTCTTGTCAAGAATGCATTGATCCATAGGGCACACTGAAACAGGATTGGATTAAAAAGAAATCTGAAGGACAGTACAGATTATACTGAGCAGCACACACAGGAAGGCAAATTTGGGCCACACAAAAAACATGGTGGCAATTATAACAAGTGTATACATGTGTATGTTGTAAGTAGGCATGGCATGTGCATGGACATCAAGACTAGGACAAAGAATAAACTTTGTTTCTCATGAATGGATAAAAATATTTAAAAAAAAATAACGAAGGGGAAACTGGTCACTGGATATTAAAGAACAAAACCCCACCGTCACCTTCCTACCCCCAAAATAATCCCAATGAAACAAAGATTTAAATATTCAAATAAAAACAGTCAAAAGACAAAAGTAGGAGAAGAAAACTTAGATCAAAAAATATTTTTAATCTTGGTATAACTATATCTTTCTGAGCATGGTATCAAAGCTGGAAACAATAACACAGTCTAAGAGATGATGATATAAAAACTTTGAAAAATTGTACTGGCAGAAAACTCAAGAGAGACAGAAAAGAGAATAGTGGGTGCCAGGGGCTGCGGGTAGTGGTGGAATGGGGAGTGAGTGTTTAATAGGTATGGGGTCTAGTAAAACATTATCTAGTGACAGAGAGAATGGATGGGTTGTACACCATACTTACGCCACTGACTGTATTCTTAAATATTATTTACAGATATCACTAAGTCCTTTACATATTATCAATTAAAAATGAGGAAACAGGCCCTCCCTGGTGGCGCAGCGGGTTAAAGCACTGCACTGAGAATCTAAAGCCGCTTCTGCATGAGTTCGATTCCCGCCTGCCCCGGAGGTGACCACATGGCGTGGCAGACCTCTCCTGACCCTCCCGCTGCTCCCCTCAGCAGTGTCCTTCGTCGATCTGCCTGTTCTGCTCCCCACTCTGTCTCTGGTGAAGCCTCTCGCCGCCCCTGAGCCTCTGGCCTGTACCCCAGTTCTGTATGCACAAATAAATAAATCTTTAAAAAAAAAAAAAAATGAGGAAACAGCTTGTGATACCACTACCATGGCACCCTAATTTATAAAGTAAAAAATATGTATATGCTTATTCTCAGAAATTTTACTGTTGAAAAATAAATTAGTAAGACAGTGTTGCAATTGTGCTGACATATACATAGATGATAATATAACTGATAAAGGAAAAGGCCACACATCAAAATATCAGTTAAAAATTACTTATTAGTTATCTCTGGGTAATTGGATTATGATGATGATGATGACAACTTTACTTTTCTGGACTGCCTGAATGTTTTACCATGAGCATGTAACCTATTTATAAATTCTGAAGCCAATTTTTCACTTTAAAAGGTCTACACCATTTAAACATATCTGACATATCATTTACTCTAAGTTTATATAGCTCACTCTAAGCCATTAATATCTCTTTAGAATTAATTTGAGGATTATATGCAGGAAACGTCACTGTTTTTAAAATGTGGAAAACTGTAATTTAAATTCAGCAGCTCTTATTATAATGACTTTCAATACAGAATCAAAGAGCTAAAGAAGTTCTTTTGACTAGAGAAAGCACATGGGGTCCAAACATGCTCTGAACAGAATAAAAAAGCCTCTTCTTAAAACATATGAGTTCTGTGGATACATTTTTTTCTACCCTTAAGTAGCTGTAAAATTATCTTAACCACTTACAAATCAACCTGCAGAGACACAAAAGACTCAATATGAACTATACAAAACTAAAAATTAGAAGGTGAGGTAAGAAATGATGATCTAAAATTCCACAATCATCTTGAAGAGTCAAATATCATTTAGTGAGCACATCTATACAAATTCTTATTGACATCTTAAGTTCATTTACTTATCACAATGGAGGCTTCACTCAACTTAAAACCTTTGTTATATATTCTATAAAAAGGGACTGATTTCTAAATGTTTCTTATATAGCTGTGAAAGAAAGGATTGGCTTTAAAGTTCCTCTTAGACCTGAGACTTTAAGAGATAAAAACAATATTTTCTTCTTTTTTCTCATGAACTTATTTCTCAGTGTCACTACTTTCTCATCCCTAAACCTTCAGGAAAGACTTTACAAATAAAATATCCACTAATAAAGTACCCTAAGAATAAGGTAAATGTGACTTTTTCCATTTGAAAAATACAAAGCTAGTTTTAAATTATTATATTATGTTTTCTTGTGACTTTTTTTTTAAGTGCCTTTAATACTTACAGCTTGATTAGGTAGATTGTCAGTCTTAAGTTCTCTGTGATTGGAATACTGAATAAAAACAGGCTGGCTTCGAAGATGAGGAGTAACAGGAGTGTAATAATTCACCATAGTAACAGCAGCTTCCTCAGAAGCCATTTCTAAGAAAGCCTGCGATAGAAACAGGAGAAGTTAAAGCGAAAACTCATGTTTTTGAAAAAACAGGTAAGAACTATTTTGTCACTCTGCCTGGCTCTAAACTCATGGTTTCCCTATAGAAGTAACACTGGCCCCAAGGGTACAACAAACTTGCTGTATTTAAATTGTATCTCTTACGTTAATTGGAAACACATTTGAAAAGTTGGGCTCAATAAAGGATTGGGGAATAGCAAACTTTCCCTTGATTAAGTGACTTATGTGGTTTTGCTTTTCCTCTTATTCCTGTTTCTTATAAAAGTTAGAAGTAACTATCAAGGCAAAAAAGAATGTGTGCATCACTACTGTAAATAGACACTTCAAGGGTCTAAGATTTAATAATAACACCTTCATAAGAAATTTTCAACAAATGGAACATAATAATTTGCTTTCCTTACCTTTCAGTTATTTATGAATACAATGAAAGCATTTAGGGTAATTCAAGTTACAGAACTTTCTACAATAGTAAGAATATTGTAGAATATAAACCAATACTGAGAATATAAACCAATATTGAGAGCTCCTCAATGATTATTTTAATATCTGTAATCACTGAATGAGCAGTACTGGATGTTTAACAAATAACAACCGAATTGCTGAGATGGAACAAACACCTTGGCAGTTACATCTTAATACGCAGTCTCTCTGGCTGTCATGTCTCTGATATTTACTGAACTTTAGGTTGGCAGGTTTAGCATCCTAACTTAATGGTTAGTTAGGAAGATAATATACAGACATTTGCTAACCATTCTAAGCACTCAGAACTACCTGTAAGTACATGTTATATTTAAAGTATAGGAAGAGTATTTGATCCTTATCAATACAAATTTCTAGTTAATTATTTTTGAAAACATAGTAAAGCATTTTATTAATGTGCATATAGTAGCCGATTCAAATCGTGTATAAAATATTTCAATTTGCTTATTATATATGCATTAACAAAACTTACTGAACACAGGAAATGCTAAATACCTACAAGTCAAGCTATTTCTTAATTTATACTTGCCTTACCTCAAATCTTTCCATTTAGCAAATAGTCCAGTAAAGGAATATTAACTTGACAAGTGTAAATGATTCTTAATATATCAATCGTCACAATTAAATAAATTAAATGCTTCAACTGAACAACTGAAGTGCTAGTCAATATTCTTAACTTCATATTGAATACTATTCAATATTCTATGAAACAGTGATACTAGTCAAATGACAAGGATTAAATATCACAAAATTACCCAATTCACAATAAACAAATAAGATTCCCCTATCTTCAAGAAATAAAAACACTTTGACTTATACTATCTAAAAAGTATAAATATCCATTATGTACTTTAAAGTCACTATTCCGGTATATCATTAACACATTTCTCTAATTTAAGAGGATAAAAAATGATGAAAACAGCTATAGTAATACTTCCTAATTCTCTGGTTTTTACTTATCTTTTCAACAAAGAATTTTAAACTGTATTCTATTAGCAGAGAAAGTCTGGTGAAAATAACCCCACTCTACCTCAACACTTCACCTCCAAGTACCTAGGAAAGATTAACTCCCACAAGTAGTTCTAGTTACATCAGAAACTCTTAAAATTATGAATAGAATATTACTAAGAACGTTATGATCAAAACACAAACAATTTACATAACAACTATTTAGCACAACAGATAAATATAAACTCATACCAAACAAGAGGCAAGGAAAGCTACCTGCTGCCTTTCACAGCCATGTGACCTAATATGTAGAACACACTGCCTAAACTGTGATGATGTTGACGATTAGACATGGCCATGTTGACTCTTAACATCTCGATAGATGCCAATATGTTAAAATGAAGGTGTAAGGGCATTATCTCCCAACGATGTAAGAGGAATGTAAACACAAACATGGTTGAGTATTAGAACATGTTATTGAACTTCTCTAGGTCTTAACAACCTCCTATCAATTAAACAGGGATGTTAATTACCAGAAAAAAACCTAAAATATTCATCCCAGTGGGGCCTAGTTAACAGAAAAGACAAACTTAATGAAATCAGCTTAATACTTTTATCATTGTATAAAAGCTTAATTTCCTTATCTGTCCTTGAGAAAGGTCTATTAACTTTAAAAAACAAGAAACTTTCAGAGTTTCTTTAAAATTATTAAAGAATCTACATATTAATCCCTAAACTAAAAATATCAAACATGTCTATCTAGATTTTGGAAAACTTAAATTCCTTGATTTGACAAATGAGATATAATTTATATCCTGTCAGGGTCTTTTGATAGTCACAGGATATTTTCATAAAACATAAATAATATCATAAAATGTGTTTTCTGATAAGAAGGAAAAAGACAAGTAAGTGAATAAGACAATCCTGTTCCTGGTGTTAATATTTTTCATTTGTTACTTCCTGTCATACAAAACATTTAAAGTGACTATGGAATTTAGATGAGATAGGAAAGTTGAAGAAAATAAAAATTGTCTTTAACACCCAGAGATAATCACTGTGGGTCAATCTTTAAATATTACATACCTGGCTTTTTCCTTTCAACATCAAAAGATTAGTTACTTTGCCAAATGGTAGACCTAATGATATGACCTCTGCTTCGGTGACATCATTTGGAATTTTGCGAAGATGGAGAACACGAGAAGGTGAACAGGGAGGTCTATCTCCTTTAAATTTCTTGTTGTCATTCCCATTAGCTAAAAAACAAAAATTTTAAAAATTACTAAAACTAATTTGGGTTTGCAATGATTAGCCATCTCTTCACATTTCATCCTCCAAAAGTTTCAGTTTTAAAATTCAGGGAATTCTGAGGCTAGTAGTAAACAGAGAGGCAGAAAAACAGTAGAAATCATGACCATTTACCTTTTTCTTTTTTTTTTTAAAGACTTATTTATTTGCGTGTATAGAACTGGGGTACAGGCCAGAAGTGCAGGGGCAGTAAGAGGATTCACCAGAGACAGAGTGGGGAGCAGAACAGGCAGATCGCCAAAGTATACTTCTGAGGGGAGCAGCTGGCGGGTCAGGAGAGGTCTGCAGCCCCATGTGGGTCACCACCCGGGGAAGGTGAGGTTTGAACCAACGCTGAAGTGGTTTTAGCTTTTTAGTGTTGTGCTTTAATCCACTGTGCCACCAGGGAGGGCGCTACCTTTCTATTAATCTGTTTTTGTTTTTTCACTGCAGGCATTAAATTCTTTTACATTTAAGTCTGCTTTTTTCCTTAAAGGGAAAAGTACTGAAATAAGAGAATTTGCATCTAGAGGTATTATATACTTCCAAGTAGTCTGCTTTTTGTTCCAAGTAGAAAATAGTTATGAAGTTTTTAAAAATAAATAGTTTTTAAGTTTTTAAGTTTGTGTTCTCAAGGATGTCCTTCTAATTTGCTCTATCCTGAACAATTAAAGGAACAGTAACTTTTAGAAACAGCTATATATATATATATATATACACACACACACACAGCTATATATATATATGTATATATGTATATATGTATATGTATAGATATGTATATATTAGACATCAAATCCTGGATATATCAAATTTGGCTTTGAACTGTGTGTCTCTGAAAATTAAGTATATTTCTTGGGTGTTCCATCTATTGCTGACTACTTTTTAATTTATTTTATTTATTTATGCATCTAAAAACGAGTTTAGGCCAAAGGTGCTGGGTGGGGGGTGAAGGGATTCACCAGACAAGGCAGGGAGCATACCAGGCAGATCTACTGAGATACACTGATGAGGGGAACAGCAGGCGAGACAGAGACATCTACTGTGCCACGTGGGTCATCTCCCTGAGCCGGGGAATGAATCATGCTGCAGTGGCTGCGAGTAGCTTCATAGTGCTGGGTTTTAACCCTATGTACTACCAGGGAGGCCCCACTTACTACTTTAAGAATTTTTTAGAAATTAAATTATGGTTTCCCAGGATAATCATATACCTTATTATGTAACAGTAGTTCTTAACATAAGTATCACCTTGTTGGCAGTGCAATTTTGCAGTCCTAACCCAGACGTACTGAATCAGAAGCAAGGGTGGGACTCAGCAACTTATGTTTTAAAACAAGCCCTGCAGATGACTCTGATGTGACTTTAAGTTTGAGAACCACTGTAGAAAGAAATCCATTATCTCAGTGTAAACTGTATCTTCATTAAGTTCCATTACCTAAATACAAAGACTAGAATTGACAAGCCTATGATGAATATTCTAATTAATACCTTTAAGATTCAAAATGTCTCTCCCAGAAACACTACCATCCTGAAAGCAAATTCTTTGAAAGTCAAAAGTTTCACAATTCTTTAAATATTAAATAGCATTCTTAACACTGTTAAGAAGAAAATTAAATCTCTCCAAATATCAATTACTACCATTTCTCTAAAAACATTAATAGAACTTTATAATGAGATGGCTGGAACTGAAATAAACAAATTTCATAAGGACCAAATAAAAACTACACGCAACATCCTGTATCCATATCTGTGGCAAAAAACTCAACTTGGTAACAGTTGACTAGATTAACTTATTACTCAAACCAGCACTTGCTCCCAAATTCTCTATGTTCATGAATAAAGACAGGATCATTTAAGAAGCCAAAGATTATCAGTTCTTAGAAGGAGCAGACAGCAAATGTCTCCAGATCGTGGGAAATAGACAATCAAGTATTTATTGTGAATTAATATGGGAATTAAAAGATTCCGTCTCCTATTTTGTCAATCAGCATGAAGTATTGTTTCCCCTCCAAAATAATTTATTTTCCTCTTCACTTCAGTGACACCAACTTCAACTGTTATCTTGTTCCTATTCTTCCTTCCTCTACTCTCTCTACCCTCCATTTCAAACCAATCTGACATCACATTAATCTAACAACATAGGGTAGCAGTCTTCTCTTCTGGGAAAGTTTTCTGATATAACTGAACCTGAGATTTTTGTGTTGCAAAATTATTCTAATAGCAGAATCCTTTTGAAACTTAAGAAAATATAATTACAGGCTAGGTGAAATGCCTAGCACATAGTGATTAATAAAAGTAACAGGAACCAAGGAACACTGAATGTGTAACTTTTAGAATTAGTCTCTATACATACAAATAAGTTTCCAAATTTTTATCATGAAATCATTCCCAAGCACCTTTTGTAGTCACTCTCTCCTCTAAAACAACCAGCCCCTCAAGTAAACTGTACTTCTATTATTTGCTACACCACACTGCTTTGATTACTGTAGTTTAATAATTATTCTTAAAGTCAGGATCTTATTTGCATGAGAATTCAGGTCTTAATAATGTTGAATATTCCGAACTATATACATGCAATTCATTTTCTTCTTTAGTAGTGCTCAGCAATGTTACCTAGTTTTCAGCATAATGGTCACACAGATTTTAACATAGTTACCCCAATATACTTCGTAATTTGTAATGGAGTTGCAAGCAACACTTTAAAAATACCTCAATCACTGATATTATAAAGTAGGATAAATTGATTGGCATGCTGAACTTATATTCTGCAATATTGCTAAAGTCTTCATTTTCTGTCATATATTTTATTTCTTTGTATCTTACTTTCCAACAGTGTGTTTTTTCTTTCTAGCTTTACTCAAACGCTGGGACTAGCAATTGCTACAAACCTGAGCAGAAATTAACAAGAATGAACACTCCCTGCCTTGATACCAATTTTGGAGAGAAGATACTGTCTACACCATTAAGTGTAGTAGTCTCACCTTCTCTATGGTTTCAGAAAAAGTATTTTATATGCTATCACCCTCCCCATTACATTAACAACAAACAATTATCTTTTTTCTACCTTGTATAATTAATAAATGAACAATTTTCCAAAAAGAGCACACTATATACATTTAAAAATAATTTTTATTATGGTAAAATATATACAACATTTATTGCCTTAATTTTTTTTTTAATTTTTTTTTAAAGATTTATTTATTTGTGCATACAGAACTGGGGTACAGACCAACGGCCCAGGGGCGGTGAGAGGCTTCACCAGAGACAGCATGGGGAGCAGAACAGGCAGATCTATGAAGTACACTGCTAAGGGGAGCAGTGGGCGGGTCAGGAGAGGTCTGCCTCGCCATGTGGACTCCTCCGGGGCAGGCGGGAATCGAACTCATGCGGAAGTGGCTTCAGATTCTCAGTGCAGTGCTTTAACCCGCTGCGCCACCAGGGAGGGCCCTGCCTTAATTTTTTTAATGTCCCAAGCATGGTACTAAGTACATTAAAAATGTTGCACACTTATCACCACATCTATTTCCGAAACTTCTCATCTTATAAAACTGAGATTTGACTCATTAGTAACTCACAAGCACCTCTCTCTTCCCAGGCGCTAACACCATTCTACTGTCTCTGTTTTTAACTATTTCTTTCTCATTATTTTTTTCACATATTCTATAGCTATTTTTTTAAAGATTTATTTATTTATGCATACAATAACTGGGGTACCAGCCAGAGTGCAGGAGGTGAGAGGATTCACCAGATACAAAGTGGGAGCAGAACAGGCAGATCTACTAAAACATACTGTTAAGGCAAGCAGAGGGCAGGTCAAGAGAGCTCTGCCACGCTTTGTGGGTCACCTCCCTCCCTAGCCAGGGATCGAACTCCTGTTGGAGCAGCTTTGGAGAGCTTCACAGCTGCTGTGCTTTAACCCATGTGGCCACCAGGGAGGGCCCTCTATAGCTATTTTCTTTGTGGCTATCATGAGAAATTATTCTGAACATCCTGAAGTTAATAACACTGTAATCTGAATTTATGCCAGTTTAATTCTAAGAACATACAAAAACCTTGCTCCTTTATACTTGTCCCCATTCCTACAGCTGGTATTGTTGATATTAACAAAATTACATCTTAATTTACTGTATGCCCCAAATACAAATTAATAATTCTTTTAATTACTAATGATTAATTATTCTTTTAATTACTAATGATTAATTAATTAATCATTAGTCTCCTAAATTGTATAGAAAACAAAATGTGCAGTTATAACCAATCCACATTAGGTATGGTAATATACATACAAAGAGATGTAATCCTATACCTCTGGATCATATGGCAGTAAGACAATGTTACCTCAAAAAACAAAAAACAGACAGACAAAAAAAAAACCCACGAACAACCAAAGTCACATAAGTAGCAACTTTTAGATTAATGACTTATTGTACATATTAAGTCTCTTAAATTACACAGGAAAAAGTGGAGTTACAAATCATTGTTAGAATACTACTGGCTTTTATGTAATTGTCCATGTGTTTACTTTCACTAAATCTTTATTTCTTCATATGAACCTGATTTACTATCTAGTACGTTTCATTTTATCCTTTCTAAACTGAGTATTTCCTGCAGGGCAAGGCTAACAGTAACAAATTCCCTCAACTTCTATTTATCTGGAATGTCTTAACTTCTCTTACTTTTGAAGGATACTTACTTAAAGAAAGAAATCTTGATCATCAGCTTTATTCCTTTAGCCCACTGAATACAGTGGGCCCACCATCTTTCGGCCTCCCAAGTTCCTGATGACAAACTCATACTCTTACTGAGTTCCTTTGTACAACATGAGTCCACTCTCCCTTGCCTTCAAGATTCTCTGACTTTTTGTCTTTTGATTTTATCTAACTCATTGTGGGTTTCATTTTATTTGGAGTTCATTTAGCTTGAGTACTTTTTAATTTTTACATAGAAAAATTGGGGTATAGGCCAGACAGGCAAGAGACAGAGTGGAGAGCAGAACAGGCAGGTCTACTGAAATACATTGCTGAGTGGAGCAGCAGGAAAGACAGAAGAGGTCTGCTGTGCCATGTGAGTCAGCTCCTTGACTGGAGATCAAACTCAGGCCAAAGAGGTGGTTACATTGAAACTTCACCATAGTCACCAGGGAGGCCCTAAAGGATATTTAAATTCATTTTTACATCCAAACTGGAGATATAATAACTCTAGAAATAAGGTTTTTTTCCCAGAGCTGTATTGCTGCTAATGTTTTTAGTGGTTTGTTTATAGTTGTTGCAGGCTATCTCTGTACAACTATCAGCTTAAGTAGTAAATATAAGACAACCTTAGTTTTTTGTTTTTGAGATTTTTCCCAGGGTATATAGTGTTTTTAAAATACCCTAGTCTCTAGTGATCCCAAATGGTAAAAAAATATAAAATTTAAAGGGGGGGGGGAGTAGGACCAGTGTCTATAAAGTCACTCTGAAGATAAGGATAAGGGGATATTGTCTAATTTCTTTTTGTTGTTGTTGTTAAGATGTATTTATTTATGCATACAGAACTGGGGTACAGGCCAGAGGTACAGAGGTGGTGAGAGGATTCACCAGAGACAGAGTGGGGAACAGAACAGGTAGACTGACGAAGTATATATTGTTGAGAGGAACAGCGGACAAGACAGGAGAGGTCTGCTGCACCATGTGGGTTACCTCCAGACCTGGGGATTGAACTTGCACTGAAGCGGCTGCAGGCAGGTTGCAGTGTTGCTTACTAACAGGTTGGGCACCAAGGAAGGGCCCTAGTTTCTATTGCTTGAAACAATAGGAGATGCAAGGACAATGCCGCTTTGTCTACAGAAAGTAGCAGTTAGCAGTTGGAGCACAGATGACCAAAAGTTGGGAGTACAAGATCCTTTATGTCTACCCTGTCTCGCCCAAAACTGTGAGCTGCTCCTGGAATATGTACACGTTGCCTGCATGTGACTGAAGATGGGAGTTAGGTATTTGCTACCTTGCTAAGAACTGAAATGGACACAATTTACCTTTCAAGTCTTCACCTGGAACGTGTAGTCATTTAAAAGATTCCAGAGATCCAAAATAGGTGCAGACAGATTGCCAGTGCAATTTTTGTCCTGGTGAGGACAAAGATTCCTACTCCTATTCTGCCCAATTTCCAAGAATCCTCCATCATTTGTTTTTTTAAATTAGCCCCCAAAATGCAGTAACTGTGATAGAGCCACATATTTGTCACTTGGTGAAGATGACACTGTTCTCAAAATTTTTATCACTTCATAAAATGCAAGTCTATTTCTAATGAATGTTCTGGGCTCTAGAATGCTATATAGAATGCTTTCTTTTAACTTCATTTTGAATTTAAATTCCAATTGGTCATGCTTATTTTTGGTACTTTAAAGTTGTTTCTCTATTATTGGCTTTTGGTGTACAGCTTTCCAGACCAAGATTTATTTACTTATTTTTGCTTACAGAACTGAGGTAGAGGTCAGAGATGTGGGGGGAGAGAACATTCACCAGAGACAGAGTGGGGAGCAGAACAACAGGCAAATCAACTGAAATCTACTGCTGAGGGGAGCAGTGGGTGAGACAGGAGAGATCTGCTGCACCGTATGAGTCAGGTCCCTGGCAGGGGATAGAACACGTGCTACAAATGCTTCAGAGACCTACATAGTGCTGCGTTTTAACCTGCTGCACCACCAGAGAGAAACCCCTCTAGCTATTCTTAATTTTTGCTCCTGGGAAAAACATGTGATGTTTTCCCCCTGGCTACATTTACTAATTTTGTCTGCATCCTTGGTTATTTGCAATCTGATTGTGAGGGCTGGTATTGTCTTGCTTCTGGTTCACTGCTCTTCTTGGCTATGCAGGCTTACAAATATGTGCCATATTTGGAATATACTGTTATTATTTCTTCAGATACAGTGACTATTTCTGCATACCCACTACCATCTTTTCTTCTAAGACTTCAATTATATATTTAACTAAAGATACCTGATTTGTACTATAGGTTACTAAGGTGCTATCATTTCTTTTTCAGGTTTGTTTTTACTTTTTTCAGGTTTGTGCTTTACTTTTCATTGCTATATTCAAATTCACAGATCCATTTCTTTTGAGAAATGGATAAGTTAAGGCTACACCAAGTCTATTTTCCAGGTATTATTATTTTTAACTATAGAGTTCCATTTTTCTCTGTTATGCAGACATTTTCCTTTCAATCTCTGAATAAACATTTTAAAATCTGAAACTACTAATACCAACTTTATTATTTCATAGATCTGTTTCTGTACTCTGATTTGTCTTCCTGGATACCAATGACAATTTTATGATTCTTTTACATGTTTAGCAATGTTTGACTAAATATCTGACATAGTGAGGATTACAAGTAATTTTATTTCTGAAAAAGGTTAAATTACCTTCAGATCAGGTTTTTGGAGCTCGTTTTAAGGCTTTTTGGGTGGCTTTAGTGTGAAAGTTATGCTAGAGCTGGTTCAGCCCTCCTCCTGGTAAGGCAGAGTTTCTGTCACATGTCCATAAATAGTCTCCAGATTTTCAATGAGAACTGGCTATTCTAGTTGGATACCAATTAAATGACTCTCAGTCCTGTGTGAATTCTGAAAAGTTCAGTTTATAGCTCTTTAGATTCGTTTTTCTTTGCTGCTTTACCTCATAGCTTCATCCTGTACATTTGTTTTAACTGTCAGAAATCAATCAAAAAGCAAATTTCTGGAACACTTTTCTCATGCAGTTTCTTTCTCTCCCCTCCTGTGGGGAGCAGCAGGTTGCCCAGGAGACGTATGCCACGACTTGGGGTCACCCCTTGGGGGGGAGGGGTTCGTCGAATGTGTTGCAGGGGCTTCACAGCTTCTTAGTGCTGTGCTTTAATCCACTGTACCACCAGGGAGGGCCTGCCCCTCTTCTGTCTTATTAATACCTCTACCCTCTACCTAAGCCTTCTTAAACTCAGATCTGCATCTCTTCAACCCAACACTTTTGCCAAGTTTGCTTGAATTAACTTCATTTCTTCACTTTTACTTCACATTACAGTCCTACTTTACCTATTTTCCTTAAAACTGCCTTATATTTTTGCTATATACACTGTGAGACAGGTCTTGTCCTGGTTAATTCAATAAGGTGATAGTAAAAGCATACAGATTTTACATTAAATCATAAAGGACAAAGTTTAAATGACAAAAGCTACAGTGTTCATCAAGATTTCATGAAAATTTTGCACAGCACTGAAATACAAGTTGGTAGAGGTATTAAAGCAAAGAGGGGCCCCCTCCCTGTGGCGCTGTGGGTTGATCATAAAAATATGATTTCTCAAAAAGTATTAGTTCACTTTTTAATAAACTTAAGATCTATCACAGTTGAAGATTAGTATACAGTTCATACAGTTGTACGCATGGGAATTTGAATTCATTTCTTGCTATCAAAAGCCAAATATGAGAATTAACTGGGCAGATAAACTACAGCAACTGTGGAATTAAGAACACTAGGGAATTCAATCTGTTTGCTGACATTTACTATATTCTGCACAAAATTATCATGTTTTAGCTGATTACATGCCTGTTGGAAAAGACTCCATTCCGAACAAATATGGGGCCGTCCTGACGGTGGTGCAGAGGGTTAAATTTTCAGCCCTCTCAAGCTACTTACTGCTAGCCACTGTGGTATGAATTCGACTCTCTAAGGAGCTAACACTATGAACCTCAAAGCATTACAATGTGACAGAACTAAACTTTCATCTTCTATCTTGCTTAATCCTAGTAGTATTTGCAAAAAACTCAATATTATTAACATAAGAGTTCTATTTAAAAATTAAGTTAAAGTTTGACTTGATAAAAATTTCAAAATGTCATTAAGAAAAAAACCATGTTGCAAAGCAAAAGAACATATTCAATTTATTGGTGTTTTGCTATAGGACCAAATATTTATCATAAAAAGTACTAAAACTTCTTGAAATAAAGGGTATGGTCTCATTAAAAGGGGTAATTAATTAGGAAAAGGAATGAACAGAAACCACAGCGTTGCAGATTAAACTAGCTGTGACAGGAAAACTGAGCGCAGCCTCTTGGAGACAGCCCCCACTTCCTGGTTCTCCCCACCGTCAGTGAAACCAACAAGACGACTCCGCCAGCGTCTAGAACAGCCAACCCAAGGGCCCACTACGTCAATAGCAGCAGCTAGCGCAAGTGCGCTTGCGCCTGCCTGCCCCTGAGCCGTTGTACCTACAGAAAAATGCTTTCTGAGGGCAGTTCGTTTTTGAAAGGTGTGATGCTTGGAAGCATTTTCTGCGCCGTGATCACTATGATAGGACACTATGGAATTGGTCCTAGAAATAGAATGCAAAACCACAAGCATCTACGTTACCTACGAGCTCATAACTTAACCACGTTAAAGGATGAACTCATGGAGCTCAGTAAGAGCTTAAGTGTGTACTGTATGATCCAGGTAACACTCAAAGATGTGGGACACTGGGCTGCAGTGAAGGAAACCTGGATCAAGCACTGTGATAAAGCAGAGTTCTTCAGTTCTGAAAATGCTAAAGTGTTTGAGTCAGTTATCATGGAAACGAGTGACATGTGGTTAATGATGAGAAAAACTTTTAAATATGTCTTCGATAAATATAAAGACCAATACAACTGGTTCTTCCTGGCTCGTCCTACTACATTTGCTATTATTGAAAACTTAAAGTACTTTTTGTTAAAAAAGGATCCATTACAACCTTTCTACCTAGGCCACACAGTAAAATCTGGTGACCTTGAATATGTGAATGTGGAAGGAGGAATTGTGTTAAGTATAGAATCAATGAAAAGACTTAAAAAACTTCTCAGTGTCCCAGAAAAGTGTCCTGAACAGGAAGGGTTAATTTGGAAGCTATCCGAAGATAAGCAGTTGGCAGTATGCCTGAAATATGCTGGAATATTTCCAGAAAATGCTGAAGATTCTCAAGGAAAAGATGTATTTAATACACAAACTATTGGGCTTTTTATTGAAGAGGCAATGATTAGTCACACCGATGTGGTAGAAGGCTGTTGTTCAGATATGGCTGTTACTTTTAATGGACTGACTCCTAACCAGATGCATGTGATGATGTATGGGGTATATCGTCTTAGGGCATTTGGGCATATTTTCAATGATGCATTGGTTTTCTTACCCCCAAATGGCTCTGACAATGACTGAGAAAGTGGCATGAGCATGTATAGATCATGCACTGTCATTATCTTAATGACAAACACATATAAATTTTTTTTTAGTTTGGTAGCACTGATTTAATTGCATGATCAAATTTAGTAGTATATTTTTAAATAGGGTTGATTTTTCCCCCTTAAAATAGGAGAATTTCAAACATGTTGGAAAAAAATGTTTTAAGAGTAACAATTTTGCAAATAAAGGACATTTATGAACATTAAAAATCTGTGGCACACGTTTTGCTGATGGCTTAAAAAAATTTCATATCTTTTCAGTTTTCTAAGCTAAGCTAATGAAATCTCAAGTTGTGAATTTTTGATTAAAGTAAAACTTAGCCATGTGTTTTCTTTAGTTCTAGTGTCAGCTTAAGTTCTAAACGTCCAAAGTACCAATGGATTTTCTTTCTCAAACAAGCAACAACAGAAATGATCCTAATCAATGTTATAGTGAAGCTGAAAATCTGTATCTGAGAGTAGAAATGAAATTGACTTACATAAAGGTTAATAATTTTCCTGGGAGCTAATTTTCAGTATAACTCTTTCTACTTCCATCTCTGCAGATACTGCAATCGGAGTGGTGACTATGAAGAATGAAATGTCATGTAGCAATGTCTTTTCCCAGTTAAACTCTCAGCGGTGACTCTGATGAAAATGTGTCCCAAGATTTATTCATTCCTGCTGGGCACATGAATTCTATGCCAGTCTATCTGAAGAATTTGTTTTGGTAATCTGGCTATTTACCTAAACTCAGTTTATCCTAGCTTTTCTTACCTGTTAAAATGTTGCGATTACCACCCCCCCACCATCACCCAATGTCATTCATTGGTTGTACCAAATCAAACTGGTAGGGGGAGCTTAACCACATCACTGCATTAGCATATCTAGCATATTATTTGTCCGATTTCAGTAGCTATCCATAAACTTTATCCATTGGTGGAAACAAGTTGTACTTATGAATGTATAAAGAATTGGAATGGGCTTGTCCTATAATCTGGCCTGCATATGCCGTATTAATATAAGTCAGTTCACTAAGCCCCCATGGGGTATGAGACCACGACATTTTAGGGATCAGTAGTTTCTTTACAATATGTTCTCTCATGGCTTTTGCAAGCCAAAAAGAGAATTCCCTCGAGTGCCTTAGACTTTAAATACTGATCATCAGAGTAGTGTGTAAACTGTTTTATATGATTTTCTTTATTGGGGCTTTGGGTTAAGGTAAAGCGTTATTGACTTAGAAAAATATTAAAACCCCTTTATTAATCACTTATGTAAACAAAAAAGGCCTCCCCAGTGGCACAAGGGGTACAGCACTATGAAGCAATCTGCAGCCACTCCAGCATGCGTTCAATCCCCAGCCAGTGAGCTACTCACGTGGCACAGCTAGACCTCTCCTGTCTTGCATGCTGCTCCCCTCAGCAGTATGTTTTAGTCAATCTGCCTGTTATTCCCCACCCTGTCCCTAGTGAATCCTCTCACCTCCTGCACCTCTAGCCTGTACCCCATTTGTTGTATGAATAAATGAATAAATCTTTTTTTAAAAAAAAGATTGCACACAACCTGAAAAAATCTTGACTTCTTATCGATATAGTTACATAACTGAGTAACAACTCAAGGAAAGAATCACAGTATTATTTTTCTTAAGCTGAACTTATAATTGAGAACTTTTATACACTAGGAGGAGACAACACTTAGATTCAGAAAAGAGACTAAGTAATGGAATAATAAAACCCAGTAGAGTCATCCCATACCACATTGTTCTACAAGGGAAGAAAAAGAAAACATGCAAATAGAACCTATGACTAGTGAGAAATTAGTAGTTTCTAATTTTTCATCAGAATATCTCAAAACATGCAATGGAAATCCTTTCTGATTCTGAATTTCTTGTATTTTCTTTAAGATTTATTTATGCATTTAAGAACTGGGGTGTCAACCAGAGGTGCAGGGGGTGAGGATTCACCAGACAGAGTAAGGAGCCACACAGGCAGAGCAACTGAAATACACTGTTGAGGGGAACAGTGGGTGAACAGGAGGTCTGCTATGCCATGTTAGCTCAGCTCCCATTACAGTGGTTAGCAATAGCTTGATAAGAAGAATCACCCCAGATGTATTACAACTCTAAGAAGGACAGTCATTTTTACTACCAGCTTGGGAGGATAATCAGGTTTAGCAATTTCAGATTCTAGTCTTTGCTCTAGTCAGAGTTTTTAAAATGGCTCCTCAAATGGTAGCATCATGACTACCTGGGAGTTTGTGGCAATGCAAATTCTCAAGAACTGCCCCATAGCTATTAAATTATAAATACTGGAAATGAATTCAGCAACTGTGTTTTAACAAGTTCTCAGGTATTTTTGTTGTTAGCTCAAAGTTTGTCCCATTTCTTTGTTCACAATTCCACTTGAACAAATTCCCTGCTGCTTCATCCTTTCCTGAAAAAAAAATATTTCCGTACCTGGAAGCAAAGATGGGCAAAACACTACACAACATACATCTCAGTAACATCTTTGAAGATACAGTACCCAAGGCAATGGAAAGAAAGGATAAACAAGTGGAACATATCAAGTTAAAGAGCTTCTGTACAGCAAAAGATACATTACAAAAAACTGACATCCCACTGATCGGGAAAAAAGTTTCTCACACAAAACTAGTGATAAAGGATTGATAACAAAGATATACAAAGAACTGATGAAACGCAACAAAATAACCCAATCCAAAAAATGGGGAGAAGAGCTAAAAAGACACTTCTCCAAAAACGATACGCAGATGGCCAACAAGCATATGAAAAAATGTTCAATATCACTTGTAATAAGGGAGATGCAAATTAAAAACAATGAGATACTACCTTACCCCAGTGAGAATGGCACATCTTAAAAACAACTAGCAACAACAAATGTTGGCGAGGATGTGGAGAAATAGGAACTCTCCTACACTGCTGGTGGGAATGCAAACTAGTACAGCCACTATGGAAAACTCTTTGGAGGTTTCTCAAACTGCTAAAAAATGGAGCTTCCCCATGACCCAGCAATCCCACTCCTAGGTATCTACCCAAAAGACACAAAAACACTGATTCAAAAGACACCCACACCCTCATGTTTACCACTGCTTTATTTACAGTTGGAAAAACATGGAGTCAACACAAATGCCCAAAAGTAGATGACTGGATTAAAAAGATGCGGAACATATACACAATGGAATATTACCTAGCAATCAAAAAAGATAAACACATTCATGCCTTTTGCAGCAACATATGGGGCTGGAAGGGATCACACTTAGTGAAATAAGCCAGAAAGAAAAGGAAAAACACTGGATGGTTTCACTCCTAGCAGGAGTATAAAGGACCAGGAGAGAAAAAAATAGTAACTATATTCCAGAGACATTTTACAGGGGTGGAGTAGGGAATAGGATCAAAAATGGGTGAGGAAGTGTACTGGATATGGTGATGGCACACAGGTGATTTGGTGGTGGGAAGCCCATAGGGATTACAACTAAGATGGAAAAGGCACACAATTATCTAAAAACAAACTATTAATATATATACATATATAAAAAATCTTTCCATATAGTCCTCCAAAGTAAAGTAGCCATCGCCACACATTATCATCATATAAAGGCTGTTCATTTACCCAAACATGTAGCATGAAAAAATCTGACCTCATGAAAAAAAAATCTGACCTGTTTTCTTTTTTTTAAGATTTATTCATTTATGCATATAGAACTGGGGTACAGGCCAGAGGTGTGTGGGCAATGAGAAGTCTGCCGTGCCATGTGGGTCAGCTCCAGGGCAGGGGACTCAAATTTGCACTGAAGTGGCTGTGGCTCCTTGCAGTGCTATGTTCTAATCTGCTGCACCACCAGAGAGGGCCTGTTTTTCTTTTTTAAAAAAATTTTATTTATGAATACAGAATTGGGTTACAGGCCAGAGGTGCAGAGGCAGTGAGAGGATTCACCAGAGACATTGGGGAGCAGAACAGGCAGACTGACAAAGTACACTGCTGAGGGGAGCAGTGGGCAAGACAGGAGTGGTCTGCTCCACCATGTAGATCACCTCTGGGGCAGGGGATCGAACCTGCACTAAAGAGGATGCAGCCAGCCTGCATCCTAACTAGTTGTGCCACCAGGGAGGGCCTGCTATGTTTTTCAACCCTGTTCTTATGTTTTCTTTTATAACTGAATGGCACCAATCTTTATCTATACAATTATACATGTCTAAAACTTGGAAATTATCATGGAATCCCTTAGTCTTATGTTCAATTAATCAACTTCTCATCTTTTGTAAGTTCTCTAATTCTTCCCATCACTACTACTACATAGTACAAATTACCATCCATTACTATTTTATATCCTATAGTATACAGGGTAGCCTATATAGCAATCGATGCTTTTAACTGTTCTGCACTCCTCCAGTTCATTTTAAATTTCAAAGACATTTGTTTTCTAAATTTGTGATACCTAATAGGACGTGAATTATGCTTCAACTTTAGAAAATGTTATTTTATAGTTTTAGTGATTCTATTCTTAAAAATCCATCAAAACAAGATGTTAAATCTAGCTCTTTTATCCAGTGCTGCATCACAACTTAATGATAATTTTATCCCAGATATGTAACACAAAGAACATCAATGAGAAAGGAATTATTCAATTCTTACTGATCTTTAAAACTTATGAGAGCTATAGTTAGTAATTTCATCTACAAGAACTTTCCTGAAGTAAATTTGTTTCTGTCATAAATAGTGGCACTTCAAGACATCCTTGTGAGTAAATAACTAAGAGCAATGTTAAAAAATTGAAACCTATGCAGAGCAAACAATTCAGACTTTGAGAAAAATGAACACTTACCATACACACCTGCAGAAGTAGAACTGTTCATGGTAAAAGGTCCGTTAATGATGCCAGAAGAAAGAAGCTCATCAGATCCCCGCTGAAAAGCAAAAGCAGTATTCTATTAATAAAACAAGCCTTGGATAATGGTCTATACTTACTGCTAAAAATACTGAACACTAGTAATATTAATTTATCTGAATATCAAGGTATTTAAGGAGGGAAGTGCTTCAGAATCACAAAATCTAAAGGTTGGAAGCAAAAAATTACTGAACCCAAAGACTACTAGCTATTAAAAAATGGGACTGTCCTTCATAACTGGGGCATACATAATCCCATAATGTTCTCTGCTTAACTACAGTCTTCAGAGATGTTACAGTTCAAATGTCAGAAACTGTATTTAGGAGTTCTATCCTGACATTATTTTTTTAGTAGTTACCCTCACATAATTTGTGGAATAAAAATGCACCGTGCTTCTCAACGTGTATTTTTTTTAAGTCGAACAAAAAGATGCAATTTATTTCTACACTGACCAAGTTCTTCATAACCAGTGATTTTTTGTACATTTATCTTCAAAGTGATCTCTAATATGTACTATATGTAAAACAACTACTGTTTAAGTTATTCACTCTACTTCAGGTAAGAGTTCTGATCAATTCCAAAGTTAAAATAGCAATTGGAAAAGACAAGTCAGACTAGATTTTCATTTTAATTTTAAATTCCACTAAAAGTATTAAAAAGTTTACACTGGGCCCTCCCTGGTGGTGTATCAGGTTAAAGTGCAGCAGGATGAAGCTATCCGAAGCCACTGCAGCATGAGTTCCATCCCCAGGCAGGGAAATGACCCGTATGGTGTGGCACTCTCCTGACCTGCCTACTGTTGTCCTTGGCAGTGTATTTCAGTACATTTGGCCCTTCTGTTCCCTACTCAGTCTTTGGTGAATCTTCTCACTCCCTGCACCTCTGGCCTGTATCCAAGTTATGTATGCATAAAAAGTAAAAATAAATCTTTAAAAAAATAAAACATAGGTATTCCTGAAATACAGGTATCAGTAGCTAAAGACAGACTAGTTTGTTGACTAGCTACAAAAATGAAAAGGGAGAAATTTTTGCAGTTTTAACTGTATTCAATTTCTAAATGTACACAACACATTTTTATATTGGAGAATTCGGTGTATGTGTATTACTAGTAGTACTACATATATGTGAGTTTCATATTGATGTTTCTAAAACTCACATATATGTAAAGAGTTAATCTGACCATAGCAGTCACTTAGAAATCACTTTAGTTCTCTAGACTCTACGAGTGTTAAAATGTCAGCTGAATATTAATTTTAAGTAGTCTGAATACTGAACTGTAACAGGCAAAATGATAAAGACTCTAAAAGGTAACAGAAAGAAAATCTTCAGATTTTGCAAGCAGGAAAAGATACCTTTAACAAGAAATTTTTAAAAATGCAACTAAAAAAGAAAAATTGACATACCTGACACCACTAAAATTAAATTTACCAAAAAAATCATTAGATTAAAAAGGCAAATCATAAAATAGAAAGTATCTGCAATATATAACCAATAAATATACCTAGAAATTAGAAAGGAAACAAAGTAGGAGCAAATTTTTAAAAGTCAAGAATCCTAAAGATGCACCTACAAAAATAAGCTGGTAAATTATATTACTGTTCTGGAGTTCTTGTCATAATGCCTCCTGTGGGACACCCCCTTCTCCACGTACAAGGAACACAGTTGTATGATATGCTTTGGCCTATGGAATATGAGCAGACATGACATACTAAATCCAGAATCTGCTAGCTTTTCCCTTTCTCTCTGAAACTTTAACATTGTGGTCCCTAGGGAAAGGGAGGAGCCTGGTTCCCAGCCCCATCCTAGGAAGGGGTTGACCTGAGCTGGAAGTAGTTGGAGGGGCACTAAGGAGGAAAGAATAGGAAAGAGAACAAGGAGGTAAGTGGAGCAGAGTATATGTGAAGAAGCTGAGCTGGCTTCTCAGTCTTGGACTGGTATCAGGGACTTGGGGGACAAGGAAGAAGACACTGGAAATAGTTGTGGGTGAGACCAGAGGACCAACAAAGGCAGCTTGATTTCTGACTGTGCAACTTGCATCCCAGCATTACCAGGCCCCTTATGCCCCTGTTCTGCGTCCCCACCAGATGGTGCCTTCAACTTGTGACAAGTGTTTGGGCCAAACCTGTATTCTAGGTAACTCAGGGGGCTTGATTTGAAAACTGAAAAACAAAAACCTTCCACCAAAACTAAAGTCCAGAATAAAATGCCTTTACTAATGAATTCTACCAAATCTCTACCAAAAAAAATCATACACATTCTCAAACTCTCAAGAACTTGACAGAGGGATTATACCTCCCAACTACAGAATTGGCTAACTGTACTCAAGGTTAAGTCGACTCAAGAGCAGATATACTAGAACAATTCATTTAACAGATTTTTTAAAATGTTGTCCTTACTTCCAAACTACCATTTGAGTTTCCAGCTGTAAAAGTCAGATCTGCGCCCTCCCTGGTGGCGCAGCGGGTTAAAGCACTGCACTAAGAAACTTAACCCACTTAAGCATGAGTTCGATTCCCGCCTGCCCCGAGGAGATACACATGGCGTGGCAGACCTCTCCTGACCCACCTGCTGCTCCCCTCAGCAGTGTACTTTGTGATCTGCCTGTTCTGGCCCCCTCCTGACTCTGGTGAGTCCTCTCACCCTCTGCATCTCTGGCCTGTACCCCAGTTCCATATGAATAAATAAATGTAAAAAAGTCAGATCCGATCTAAAAATGTGATCAATAATCAAGTAAAGAGAAGGAAAATTAAATTTACAAGACATCCTTAATGAATGGATGCAATATCCTAACTGTCCCATTAAACGCATCCACACAAAATATTCTGTTAAGAAAATGGTGAGCACAGCATTCAAAATAAAACCATTAAGTCTCATAATTCCATTAAATCTTTTAATGGTAATAAGAAAGTTTTTTTAAAAATGTCTAAAATAGCCCTAAACAAAAAAAGAAAGCAAACACTTCAATATCAAGTAAAATGTTAAAATGAGTATTTTTACTGCTTTATTTTGATAGAACTAAAAACATTTTGAGTATTATTTCATATCTAGATACTTTTGTAAGTCAGAATGAGCAGGTTTATCATTCAGCACATAAGAGTAAAAAATTTATCAAAAAATCGTGATATTTAAAAAGCTGTTAACTTTGTGTCCTTAGTATGCTGAGGCAATGACAAACAAAAGACAAAAAGAGCACAAGGAATTTATGTCTGAAAATGTAATCACAAAAAATTCTCTTTATCACCTAGTGGCCATGTTTTTCTACCCAAGAATTCATTTCCAAATAACAGAAAACAAAGGCCTTATTATAGTACAAAACTCAAATCCAAGGGTAATACTACTTTGTTAAACTTTGTAAAGGATAAAGAAAATAGTTCTGTAAATCTTTAAACTTTCCCTTAAAAAAAAAAAAAGACTTTGCTACACATAAATTCTTCTGACAGCACATCACTAACTGTAATTACAGATTTCAGTACAAAACAAAAAATATTTCCCAAAATTACACTTAATATTTATATCCTAAGGGCATCAAAAACAATTTTCTACTGTATTCAAGAGAAATAACAAACCTTAGTAAAATCAACTCTCTTTTCTAAAGTCTGACTGCTATAAGAAACTATGGTTTAAGAGATGGAAGAAAAGGAGAATAAGATTTATAGAAGATGAAGAAGGGCCTTCCGTGGCAGCACAATCAGCGGAAGCTTGCTGCAGCCGCTTCCACACAAGTTTGAGCCCAGGCCAGGAAGGTGACCCACAGGGCATAGTGTGGCAGACCTCTCCTATCTTGCTCACTGATCTCCTCAGCAGTGTACTTTGTCAATCTGCCTATTCCCCTCTGCCAGAGACAGAATGAATACTCTCACTGCCCCTGCACCTCTGGTCTAATCACCACTTTATGCATAAATACAAGCCTTAAAAAAAAAAAAAAGATGAAGGAGAGCTTATTTAGGGAGAAAGGACTGTCCTACAGGTAAACAAATTACCCTGATATAGTAGGGCCAAATTATGATATCACTGGGGGTGGGCAACACTGGATTAACAGTTTCTTTAGAAACACACAGTAAATTTACTTAAGTGTGGTAGTTGTTCTGTGGACTTGTTAGCTCTCTGGCTAGGTCAATACACCAGCCAGCTACACTGCCTCAAGTATCAATTACTGAAGCTCTTCTTCTGAAGAATAATTAAATATACAGGTCCAACAAAGTAAAGCATACTGTAATTAAACAGCACAAGTAAAGTATGTCATTATTAAATTTGATGAAAAATAATCTCATTGGGCATTAAAGTGAATTATTAATATGATAAAGGAAGTCCTCACAAATGACAGTCGCAAAAATAACACATAAGGTAGAGTCTGAAAATCTTTAATAACTAGACTTCACATAATAATAGGATATTCGAAGATAACTTTTATTTTAGTGTATAAAGATATTATGACCACAGAAAAAAAGGGCTACTGAAAAAAAATCTGTTTAAATATTGAAATTAATGTTCAAGTCCTTACATAGTACCAAGGTAACAACCACTACAAAATTTCTAGCAGATGGTCTCGTGGCCCTTTGTGAACACTTCCAGAGCAGAAAGTGCATGTTATTCTTCCTCTGTTCCTTTGTTTTTCCAAAAAGAGAAATAAAAATCATGTAATTAGAAACTCACTGTACTATAAGCTTTTTGATTATTAGTCTCCTTATCACTGCCTTTTTATTTCACGCCACAGAGCCTACTGTAATGTTTTTAATGCTATCTATATTCATACTTTTTTTTTTTGCTTGAAAACAAAAATATCAGCCCTCCCTGGTGGCGCAATGGGTTAGAACACAGCACTGCAAGCTAGCGGCAGCCACTTCAGTGTGAGTTTGATCTCAAGTCAGGAGGTGATCCATATGGATCACCTGACCCACCCGCTCGCTGCTCCCCTCAGCAGTTTATTTTGTTGATATCTGCCTGTTCTGCTCCCCGATCTGTCTCTGGTGAAGCCTCTCACTGCCCCTGCATCTCTCGCTTGTACCCGAGTCATGTATG